GGAAGTTTTCCCGGGGTGAGGCTCATCCATTGCACTTTGGTGTGCTGGCCCCTGCAGTTTCCTCAGATGTGGGGAAACTTTGTGGCAGTGGGGGATTGTGTTTGTGTTTTCCCCTGGGGTTTTTTAAGGACCCCTTTAACCAGAGGAGCAGCTCCCACTGGTGGTGATAGAGCTAACTACCCAGCAGCCTCTATTAAAGGCTCAGTCTGGGATAACTTGTTTGCTGAAACAACAACCTACATTTGCTTCAGCTTGAGCTGTGAATAGAGTTGTCTGTCTTGAACACATCATCTTGGACCTGCTGTCTACCAGAGCCCTTACCTGTAACGGAACAGTCATTTGTTACTAATAATGAGTGAATGCTTTGAGCGGTTGGGGGACGACGACCTGTGGCCCTCCAGATGTTGTTGGACTCCTGTCAGCTTCAGCCAGCATGGTCAATGGTCAGGGTTGGTGCCAACTGTATAATCCCGGAGGACCACAGGTTCCCAATTCTTGGTTTAGAGTTTGAATATCCCACGGTTCATTATATACTTTATGCAAAATGGCAGAAGCACTACAGAGCATCTACAACCTAGTTTAAATCAGAAAGTGCTTACTGTAGTATGGCCTAGGGCAGATGAAATGTTCCCAATCTTCTAACTGTACTTAAGGGAATAGGAGTGTGCTGTAGAGTTGCATGCGCTGTCATCTCGCACAGAAATCCCCCTCCCTTCCATGGTTTGCTTTTGAACCATGACGTAGCCTTATGTCTTCTATAGCACTAATCAGAATATTCTATCAAGCATTGAGGAAATGGCAGGACTTGAACATTTTTATTAGGAAAAACTCCCCTGGTAAATGTCCTAGCATGTTTGTTCTGCATTAACCTTTCTACTCTAATAATCCCTAGCAAGAATGCGTTGGGAGGGAGGGATACACTGTTGCATTACTAATGAAAACCACACTTGTGATGTTGCTGAAATCCTGGCAGTAGGAGTGCTTTAATTTGGTCTTCTATTTTTATTCTAAGTCTTGTGGTCTGGGTTGTGCAATACATTAAATTCAGGCAGAAAAGGGATCAGGGCTGCAAGGTGCTGGCGACTTGGAATTTGATTTAAAAAGAGATGTTGTGGGAAATGTATCTAAGCCTTAGGCTTCAGAAGAATGTGCCGTTACTAGGGAGTAAGCCCAACTACACACCGTATGACGTGCTTTTGCATAAATAGGATTGGGAAACGCACTGCCTATCTTGACTCTGGAAATTTACATATGCTGTTCTGTATTGGCACAGTGTCAGCGCCGGAAGCTGTCATGGAGACATGATGTGCATTTTTGCTGTCACATTGTTTTATGCTACCAAGTGCATTCATTGCCTTAAGTTGTGCTTTTTGTTTTGTGACTTGCAGCTTTCACTCCTAGTAGCAGTATAATATACCGAAGCAGCACCTTGGCTGTAATTTTTAGGCTAATAGCCACAGTTCTATAGATATAGTTGCCCTGGCAAGTACGGTACATCTTTTAAGATCTCTTATGCTTCCCCAGAATGTTGAGCGGGTGGGGATTTCTCCAGACTTTGCCCTGAATCTTGGAGCTATCAAGCTGTTTCCCAAATGTCTCCAAAGCTAGGGCAACAGGGGTGCCCCCCTCCCACTGCAACTGAGAGCTGGGAAGGAGGATAGATCACCCCATTGGTTGTGCTGACCTTGAAGGTTTTCAAGTACTTCCAAAGCCTAGTCCACATTACATTAGTCGTGCATAGGTCACATTACATCACCTGCAAACTCCACCAATCTCTGTATGCTTCCACCCTGTAAATTCAGGTTTACTTGATCTGGAGATAATCCCAACAAGTTGGGGAAAGTGGAACTCCAAACCTCTCAACTTGGGGTCAAAGACTATTTGTTTTGGTGTTTGGGGGTGACTGTATCAATTGTCACTTTCTGCTACTCCCCTTTCTGTGCCCATTACTTCCTTAGTGCTTTCATTTAATTTCCAACCATGCTGTAACTATTTAATATGTACTTCTTCTGATCCCTCAGATTTGTCCCCAAACCAGAAAACTGCACAAGCAAACCACACTAAATATTTCTGCCACAGATATTGTGCAGCAATCTGAAAAGTGTGTGTTGAGAATGCACAACTGCATTCATTTCTTTTCCAGCCAACACACTCCTGAACCAGAGAGTGTAGCTTTATATGTATGGGTTTATATTATTTTGATCCCTCAAATTTGCACAGATCCAGAAAAATGCAAAAGTATGTGCTGAGAATTTTCAATTACCTTACTGTCTTCAGTTCAGCACTTCCTGACTGGGCATTTTTTTGGGGGGGGGTATTGGTGTTGGGGGGGGGAGCAACGTGCAAGCGCAGCTATCTGTGTGCATACCCTGTCAGTACTATCCGTGCAGTGAAATCAGCAATTTAGAAAGTGGGGGCTAACACAAAAGGGAAGAAGTACTGGTATGAATTTGAATGGAAAAAGTAGATTAACAGGTAAATACTGTTCATATGTGTCTGGTGGTGGGGGGGGATGCTTATGCCCAAAAGAGAAGGAAATACATTTTAAAAACAGAATGCACACAACTTCCCCCAAAATGTGTGAAACCTTTTTCTCAGAGTTAGGTTATCTCCACTTTTCACAAGGTGCCGTATTTGGAATGTAAATAACCACAGCATTTACTTTTAAGGAAACCTGCACTGCAGCATTGCAGATATATTTGCAGCTTGTCTTTGGCAGGGTGAAGGCAGCATGTGGTATTTAATTTATTGATCAGGGCATTGATGTTTTACGAAGTGCATTTTGGCACTTTTCAACAGCATATTCAGGGAGAGCTGGAGATGATTTACCCTGTAAAACTTTAAGCTATCCAAAGAATACATATATAAAAATATTTGCAAAAAGGCAAGGAATGGTACTCAATGAGAGTTAATTGTAACTGGAGCCAACTCCCTCCTGCAATATAGGGATAATAATGCTGCCCTACTTTTAGAGAGGGCGATCACACTGAGATAATGTGTGTGGAGCACTTAGAATGCTTGAAGTGTGGTTTTAAATGCTAAGTAAGCATCAAGTAGTCTGCACTGGTGCTTATTGCTTCTGTTCATTATATTAAAGCACAATGGAAACTCATTTGAATAAATGGTGTTTGAAATCATATTCACATTGCTCTCCTGAAAATGGCCATTTCCCCTTGATATAACAGCTTGCCAGGTTGACTGATCATGGAACATCGCCCCATGCCATATCAGGGAATTTTCCACACAGTTAGAATCATACCACACAGGGCACCTTACGTGGCATGCACATATGAAAGTAGCCCAGCAGCCCACTTCCTGTTGCAGAGCACTTAATGTGATGGAGTAGTTTTGCAGGAGAGAAGTGTTGGGTGAGGGAGGTTTCTTAGCTCTTTGCAGGCCAGCTGCTTTCCCCTGAACACCCCACCCCCCAAATACTTGTACCACAGGTTTACTTTGCAGACATGAATCTGGAATCATGCAGTGGTAAAAGCAAATTGGGTGGGTGACCAATATGGCAAGAGTTAAGTAACCCCCTTTCCCACAGTTCTTTGTTGCAGAGCTGGCCTTTTTGGGCTTCTGTTACACATGACTGTTGCCTGCCTTGCTTGCAATTTTGCCCTAAGCCTGTTATGGGTTATAGGTTTAGGTTTGTTTCATTTATCATTGTGCGGTCAGGGTTTATGCAGTGTTTGTGGTGTAGTTTAGCTTAAAGGCCTCCTGCAATGTCAAGTCCCTTCAGAATGGATGGGGAATATATATAGGAGGAATGGACTTTCTACAGAGTTGTTGGTGGATAACATTCATGCTGCTTTCTTCCAGCTAAATTTCAGGAGCAAGCGCCTGGATAATATATGCTCCAATACACAAGTTAGAGAACACTTAACTTATCAAGAGCAAGGAACTGAAATTGATTAGTTCACGGGCAAAGTGTGCAGAATCCCTTTGTTGGTTTCACTCCCAAACAAAAGTCTAGCCAGAGTCCCAAGGCAAATTGCAAAACCTGGGTTCTGGGATGAAACTGAGAAGTGACTTCTTCATGCTTTGGTTTTGAAAACAAGTCAGATTCTCTGTGAATCTAACTTTTTGAAGACTGAGAACTCGGTTTAGGATTGAAACATGAGGCAGGGATGCCAGACACTTGTTCAGTGATGGGTACTGGGCCACTCCCTCAGCCATGTACCATAAGGCATTTAAAGCACATGCTTATTTGCTTAATAAAAAATTGTATTTTCTTTAAGTTGGGTATAGGAGTCCTAACATAATCACTGCATATGCTGGGTTTAAGGGCGAGAGAGGAAGCAAATTCATGACAACAAATGAATTGCTTTCTGTAATGTGATGCTTGGCTGTTAAGTAATCTGGACAGTTCCTTGAACTTTGCAATTTCCACATGTATTATACATACATATGTACATACATATAAAATAAAGGTGCCCAGTTTCCTAAAGATCAGAAATATGTTTCGTAACTTTCACTGAAATGGGAGAGTAGACTTCGATATACTCATATTTTTTCCTTTCCCCTTTTTAAAATTGGTGCATGTCACGTGACCCTCATGTGCTCAAGAGATTTCACTTCCTTCTCAGAGCACCTCATCCGGAAATGTCTGTGGAAAGGATTTCCTACAATACTTTAGCTAGTGTTTAAGGCTGCCTTGTTGTTTGCAGATACTGACTTCCAGAAGCAATACTTTAGGAGCTGGAAAGGGCTCTTGATTTAAAAGTAATCACATCATTGAATTCCTTGTCAAACTGAGGAATGGCTTGGCAGCTTCAAAAGTACTTTTTGTTTCTTCTTAAATTCATTAATTGGATCAAATGTTTATCTACCCGAGGGAGCACTTCCCAGTACCAACAAAGAAGTGTTGAAATTGCACCCTTTTGATCCTTTTGGCATAGGCTAGCTTGTAAGTGGCATTCTAAAAAGCTGATATTTTTACAGTATTTTCATGAAGTTCAACAGATGAGCATTACCAGGAGATCCCTTTTCTTATTTTTCAGGTTCTGTGACCATTCAGCCTGGGAGGAACAGCGGTGTGTCACCCGTGGAAAACAAATTAAGGCAACATGGATATCTCGATTCTACAGTTGTATTGAACAAGTACAGAATTTGGTACTAGTTATCCTAGGATTTTTAGCTTTTCATTGGAAACCTAGAAAGGTAAGCTTCTAGTTTTTAAGTCTGTGGCAAAACTGAAATAAAAAAACATAATGTTTGGGCAATTTCTGGTGATATCTCAGAAGGTGTATGTGTATTGAGCACAGATTTTCAGTCAGTGCTAGACTGCTGGGAAGTTCTGCAAATGTCTGCAGAGATGAGAGTCTTTCACCCTACGATTTCTAGCAGTCACAAAACAGCTGCATTTGTTGGATTCACATAATTTATATAGGTTGCACTTTTAAAAGCACAGAATATACCCTTTGTTTTAGTAACAGCTATCATAATAGGATATCTCAGAGATTCAAAAACCATTGAAGATGCATTTAAGACAAGCAATTGTGATAGGAAATGAACTGTTTATATCCAAAACTAGGTCTGTGGGTTGGATGTTCCCTATCACTGTGGTACTGTTGACTACAGTTTTTGTTTTTTGTTTTAACTGAATCCTGGGGCACACTCCAAATACACGTGGTGTGAAAGTTAGTTTGAGCATGACTGGCAAGTATATTATGTGAAGTAAATGTGTACCCTAGAAAATGCCCCCGAATCCTCTGTGACGCTTGGCATTCCATGACTGTCAAGCAGGGGTCTGTGTGGAAAATGTTTTCTATAAATGGAAAGTTTGCAAACCAGTTGCTTGCTATTTTAAAAGACCTGGGCAATTAAGCTTCCTACAGCTTTCCCTTTCCATTTTGTTCCTTTTGTGTTTTAAGTTAAGCAGATGCTAGAAATGATTGGTGCTTCGGATCACAATGAAATGAAGTCACTGTGGTACAAAGTAAAACAAGTCCTCTTGACTATACATTGGCCCAGTTCAAATGATAATTCAAGGCTATGAAGCCTTGAATGAGTGTTAGGGCCAAGCATGCCTCATTTATCCAGAATGTAGGACAGGCAGCAAGATACTGTATTCTCTCCCCAGCCCTCAAGAAGTGAAACCGAGGCATGCTGGAATTCCTGGGTCAGGCAGGAGAACTGTGAAGACAGCAAGCATGAGACAGCCCACCAAGTGGTTTCTTGGTGACTGGAATAAGGATTTCTGCTTCAGCTAGCAAAGTACCAGGGGAAGTAGGAACTGAAGTAGTCTTTAAAATGACATTTGAACTGCTGCAACCAGCTGGGACCTCTACTTCAGCAGGAAGGTGTCCAAAGAAATGGGAACCAGGGGTATTGAAGGAAAAGCAGGGAAGTCAGACCCCTGGAATCTGGCTGACAGCATGAGTGATTCAGCAGAAGTGCCGTATTTTTCCGTCTATAAGACGCCCCCATGTATAAGACTATTTTTGGGGACTCAGATTTAAGAAAATGGGGGGGAGAGACGTATCTGTGTATAAGATGCCCCCTAATTCTTGACATTATTTTTAGGGGGAAAACAGTCTTATACACGGAAAAATACGGTAATTTCAGGCAAAGTGGATCTGCGCAACTGGAACCATTTTTTTTTTGCGGCAAGCCTAGAGGTTTTTAGACCCTTTTGGACAAAAGCTTCATAGCAGATAGCAGAGCTGTCATTCCTCAATTTTTATCCTTGGTATGAGAACACTTTGTGTGGTCCACCCTGATAGGATTAATATTATTATTTGGTACATAACTCTTCTTCTAGTTTGATTAGAGCAAGACTTGAATAGATTGTGGAAAGCTGTACCCAGTGCATTTGACTGGCAACATCATCTCTGTTGAGATGACCGACTTATTTAGCTGCTTTTTCCATCAGGTCTCAAACACCCTCCATGCAAAGTGAACCAAACTGGAGCCATTTTTAAAAACCATATCAATAGTATTGGTGTGGAACGTCTCCCAGGTTCATCACGTACTAGACAGGGTCTAGCCAGCCCTGGTACACATCCCTATCTGGAGAAGTCAGAGATTGAACCTGGGACTGTACGCATTGCATGGTCTATAGACAGTTGCTTTAGGCATTTCCTTTTTGTGGTCCACCTCTCAACTCTAGGAATCAACTCTTGCTCATTTTAACCCTTCCTTTTCCCAATGGCATTTCCTTTTTATCCATCCCCCCCCCCATTGCAGCAGGCGAAGGGAACATGTAACTCTTTCCCTCACACTACAATTCCATTGAAAACCATCCCTTCTAACATTGGGAATGGGGGGAAAGAGTGACTGCTTGCTTGACTACACAATGCTATTTTGATTCCAGAAGTCTGGAAGCAGAGTCACTAGCCTGCTTGTAGAACAACAATGACCAGTTGCTTACTAAATCACCCACACCTGGAAGTACCCTTTGACCCAAGTTTCCAGTTCATTCTCCTTTCTCTGTAACTTGTTTCACTACCGTCACTTCTTTTATGGAGTAAACCTGGTGACGAGGGATGGGATTGCTGGATGTGCTGTGCAACTGCACCCCAGTCACTGCTTACCGAAGGCTTTTCTCAGCCTCCTCCACCCCTCTTGTTACCACAGCCTTGTATCATGAGTAAACAGGCTTGCTGGCGGGAGAAACTGAGTTAATAAGATAATAAACTGAGATAATAAACTGACGTCAGGTGAATGTAATAGGTTTGACAAGGAGGGCAGCTATATGTTTAGTGTCACAGAAGGGAGAACAGCTCTTTGTGAGTGTTGTTTGCTTGTTTGAAAGCAGAGGTGTTTATAGGCTGGTGTGGTGCTGGATATGAGAGCAATCCTTAGCCTCTGAGTCACAGGAATAAGGGCATAGTGTGTTCTACTTAGATCATGGGATTTGAAATCTGAGTATCTTTTTACTAAGTAAAAACCCTGAACGTCTAAAAATACCATGATAGTTTGTTTTATAAGGCACGGCCAGGATAACGTGTCCCAAGTCCTAGAAGGAATAAAGAAGAAAAGCATAGTCATGAAAAGTTGGACTGCTGCGGTTTTCTATATATAACTGGAATGAACTGGGTTTGAGGGGTAGTTTTATAAATATGGATGCAAAGACGCCTTTCGCTTCTTGGCAGTGTTAACCTCTCAAGTTGAGCAAGAGACTCTTTATGCTGTGTGTGTGTGTGTGTGTGTGTGTGTGTGTGTGTGTGTGTATAAATAAAGGTGGGCCACATTCGCTTCTAAGCAACCTTCCAAGGGCCACATGCCAGTGGTGGTCAAAAGTGGGCGGAGCAACAGATGTAAATTTGCCTTTGTACAGGAGGCTCGCTCCTACACATACACATCACTTAGTACCCTCTATCCAGACAAGCTGGAGGTGTCTGAGGACACATTCCAGCCAGGCAAAAACAGGATGAGAAGCATAAACAGTGAAGGGTGTGACCTGGGAGAGTTCCAAGGGCCAGGTACAGAGAGGCCTGGGGGCTAAATTTGGTCTCTGGTGCTGAAGTTCCCCATCCCCAGTCACGGATGCAATGACTTAAATCTTAATCTGAGCTACAGAAATGCAACACTTCCTTGAAGAATGAGACTGGTCTATTTTAAAAAGGCTTGGCTTCCCTTAAGATTTCTACAAAATATTTCTTCATCGCTGTATTCTGTGAATTCCCCTGAAAGTTGCCCCTGAGTAGTACCTTTTAATTCTGGCAGTTAAAAACAAATGCATGGCTGGAAAGTTGAACAAAAGAACAAAGCACCATAAATGTTCTTTAATTACCTTGTCTTTGTTCACATTTAAAATATATTTCCGTTTTAAAGTTAGCTATTCCAATAGTTTGTTGTTTCTTCTTCTTCTTCTTCTTCTTCTTCTTCTTCTTCTTCTTCTTCTTCCTCCTCCTCCTCCTCCTCCTCCTCCTCCTCCTCCTCCTCCTCCTCCTCCTCCTATTTATTTAAAATCTCCATCCATCTGGTGAGAATAACTCATATTCTGGATTTATGATGGAGTGAAAGAATCTCATTTGCCAAGGAGGCAATTTGTTATGGTGGGAAATCGTTCTGTTGTGATAGTGGTGTAAGCAAAATATTTTATTCTGGGCATATAGTTTATAATAGTATTAATTAGAACAGAAATACCCAAACTATGTGCCAGAGCACAACAGTGTGCCAGGAGAAAACTGCTATTGTGCAGAAAAGACTAAAATCCATTACTGGATCCATTCCCGTCACTTGACACACAAGTGGCCTCTTTGACGTGAAGTGCCTTCCGTCAGCCAGGGAAATAGTTCAGAATGGTGGGAATTCATGGTATAATTCAGAAACCTCATCCTGAATATATGCAAGGGAATGCTATATTTTATGAACATTTATTATGGTTACTTCTTACACTTTGTGCCTTTTAAAAAAACAAAAACAAAAAACAGAATGGCTCTAAATTAGTCATCTTCTAAATGCATATAATGGAATCTCTTTGAAAACCCCAATTTCACACCTGACGCTATAACGGCAGTTAAGCTCACAGCGATAAAGGCATGTGATATGATTGGAAGACTAAATAGACATTGTGTATCTAAAAATCAATATCAATTTTGAAAGCTCAGACTCAGTAATTCGTTGTGTGTTTTTTTCCAGATGGGACAATAAAGCTGCCTTTAAGAAATGCAAAATACCATGCTCTCACCCAGGAAAACAACAGCCCGCTGTAAGTAAAAAGATGTTTGGTGTAAAATGTCACACACATTATGAAATTTGCTACAATGGGGAGCTTCTTGTAAGCTGAATCATAACCCATTCAAGTGGGTGAGACTTGGAATTTTAATCATATTTAAATTTTGTAAATCTTTGTTGAAATTATTTTGTTTTTGTGTGGGGGGAAAAACTTTTTAGAGATTATAACTTGCTCAACTTGGTGACCTCCAGATGGTGTTTTGACTATACCTTCCCATCAGCTACAGCCAATATGACCAACGTCAGAGACGGTGGGAGCTGTGATCCAAAACTTCTGAGGGACAACATATTGGTCAAGGCTGCTCCAGGGTGTGGCTCACCCAACCCAATACTGATGCCTTCCATAGGGATGATCAAACACATGAATGGATACTGAGACAGACATTTTGATCCGTAGGTCACCATTGGTCTTGCTTGGATGTGACACCATGGTTTAACATTAACAAATATGAGCCTAGGCCTGGCATGCTCCTTCCTCTACCTCTTCTGGTGCAGCTACAAAGAGGAGTTCGGAGTATTTTACATATGTTTTTGATTAACCACAGCTTGGCATAGCATCCAATCCCAAACAAATGTGTGGTTAATCTTTAAAGGTAAAGGTAAAGGTACCCCTGACCATTAGATCCAGTCGTGGCTGACTCTGGGGTTGTGGCGCTCATCTCGCTTTATTGGCCGAGGGAGCCGGCATACAGTTTCCTGGTCATGTGGCCAGCATGACTAAGCCGCTTCTGGCGAACCAGAGCAGCGCACGGAAATGCCGTTTACCTTCCCGCCGGAACAGTACCTATTTATCTACTTGCACTTTGACATGCTTTCAAACTGCTAGGTTGGCAGGAGCTGGGACTGAGCAACGGGAGCTCACCCCGTCGTGGGGATTCGAACCGCCGACCTTCTGGTCGGCAAGTTCTATTCTCAATGGTTTAACACACAGCGCCACCCGCGTCCCTATTGGTTAATCTTTACTATTGTTTAAATAAGCCAGCTTGAAAAACATAGTTTATTCATTTGGCTCATTTCAACAAACGCTAAAGATAAAGCACCATGTAAGGGTTGGATGGTACACTAAACTGGTTAATCTAAAATGGAGGTGGAAGCTTCTGATCTTCTTAAAGCTGGCAGAAGAATGGAGCATTTGAGTTTGAGGCTCATTGTTAGTATAAAACGTGGTCTGAACATAGTCAACGTGTGTGACACTGCCTGCTTGTCTGGAGCAAAACCATGTAGTACTTTGTGCAAATTCTTTGACTGCACCCGAGAATCAAGACTCTTACTAAGTGGGTGTTTTTCATTGACATAGGCAGCTTCAGGTTATGTAGATTAGACCATAGCCCTCTTCTGACATTTCAGCCTGGACACGTAAGGGGAAAACACCTATGGAGGGATCATAAGGGGGGAGAAGGTTAGTGGCACTAGACATGTCTACTCGACCCTCAACCTTCATGTTTTTAGGGTAAAGGTCTGAAGCAGGCTTGTGTGTTTTTCTGAATGTGCTTGCAGGCCTCCTCATAATTGTGAACCCTGAGAAACTATTATCATTTTGAAAGCATCTAAAATATATGGTGAGGTCTGCTGAAGCAAATGGTCTCCTGTTAAAATGGTAAATTAATTCTTCTTTAACGCTACCATTAAAATCATTTGAACCTTTGCTGTTAAAATCAGCATTTAAACGAACCTAGTTTGGAACCTATTTCAGATTGTGTTTTGTTTTCATTCTGCCTTAGCCTGCTGTCATAAGGGCTGCAAGTGAAGACGACACTCTATTTTGGTCCTTCATCAAGGCTTTGCTGTGATCAAACAGTGAAAAGAGGCGTCTTCCCCATGACAACATGTCAGCAAAAGATAACAGCCCCCGCCATGGTGCAAAATCCCGCACTGTGCAGCGGGCCTCAACTATTGATGTCACGACTGACATGTTAGATTTGTCTTTGGCAGGTTAGTATCTTTTCTTCCTACCTGTGTCCTCATGGTTGTATTGAATTCTTAATTTGCCTTGCTTTTCTGTTTGAGATTCAATTTTTTTAGACAGTCCCCTCCCCCCTGCACCCAGTGCTGGTAATGAAAAGATTAATTTGGGAACACACACACTATTTGTTATATTTGTATCTTTTCCCCATGTTAAAAGCAGCAGGCACGATACAAGGACAGTGGGGAGGATAGTAGATTTGGGAGCAGTTTAAATAAGAGAAGTGAGTAGAAGAGAGCTGGGCCATAAAGAAGGCTGATCACCGAAGAATTGATGCTTTTGAATTATGGTGCTGGAGGAGACTCTTGAGAGTCCCATGGACTGCAAGAAGATAAAACCCATCCATGCTTAAGGAAATCAGCTCTGAGTGTTCACTGGAAGGACAGATCCTGAAGCTGAGGCTCCAATATTTTGGCCACCTCATGAGAAGAGAAGACTCCCTGGAAAAGACCCTGATTTTGGGAAAGACTGAGGGCACAAGGAGAAGGGCATGAGTTTGACCAAGCTGTGGGAGGCAGTGGAAGACAGAAGTGCCTGGCGTGCTCTGGTCCATGGGGTCATGAAGAGGCGGACATGACTAAACGACTAAACAACAACAACAAAAATAAGAGACAGAAAAGTGTTCAAGAGACAGAAAAAAGAACTTTTGAACTTTTGTACCATTGTCAGTTCTTCCCATAGCATTGCCTTAAAATTTTTGAATGAACAATTTTGCATCAGAACCTGTAGATTGGTCCTTCATCCAGACCAAATTTCATGCATGACCAAATGCTTTTATATGCTTAATATGATCTTTGATCATTTTTCTTTGAACACTGTTAGGCCTTTTATTTTCTCATTCATTCTGGAAGTGCTTTGAAGTGTGTGTGTGTGTGTGTGTGTGTGTGTGTGTGTGTATGTGAGAGAGAGGGGGGGGAGAGAGTGTTTACCTACTATTTGAGATATATAAGATTGAACTTCTAGGTGAACTATTTACATAGTTATTTGAATAAGTGTTTACTTTTTACTTTATTTACCCCTAAATTGTCCTTGCTTCCTTATGGGAGTGTAAGACAATTTTAAAAGGAGCAAATTGACTTAATCTGTATATCTTTATAAGCTTATGCTAGTCTTTGTACTTTGCAGGTAACAGCCAAGATCCGGATGAGCCAATCCTAGAATTCAGTTTAGGTGAGTAGTTCCGTTGTCCGGAGAGGTCACATGGAGAAGCCGTTTTCAAGGGAGCCCAGTGACCGAACCCACAGCTGTATTGAGGCAGCACTGGGTGTTGAAATTTTGCACCCTTAACCATTTTGTGTCTGGGGCAACCGCCCCGTGGCCCTTTCCCACACTGTGCCACTGAGGCAGACAAGTGAAAAATGGGCATTCCCTTCCCCTTTATACTTTGCATATATTTGCGTGACATGGTGTGTAAGCCGTATTGTTTCTTTCCTATAGCTTGCAGCGAGCTCCTTACCCCATCGCTAGATAGAAAGCCAAATAGTTTTGTAGCAGTGAGTGTAACTACACCACCTCAGGCATTCTGGACAAAGCATGCTCAGACAGAGATTATTGAGGTACGTAATACTACATTACCCGCTGCGCCAGCCACAGCCACCACCAGTTAGTCTTAGCTGATACCAAGTTATCCAAACGTAACTTTTTCTCTCCTTTTTTTTTTTTAATTGCAGGGAACAAGCAACCCTATCTTTCTAAGCAGTATTGCCTTTTTTCAAGACTCTCTTATTAACCAGATGACACAAATAAAACTTTCTGTATATGATGTTAAAGATAGATCTCAGGGAACTGTAAGTCCGATTCACCAAATGTCTTCTCTGTCATTCATGTTCAGTGTAAACAAAATGTTGCATATGCCTTTGGTCTGAGGTACACTGCCTGTTCTCCCCCTTGGAGGCCAGCACTAACGGTCTAATCCTAACCTTATCTATTCAGAAGTAAGTCCTGTTGAATTCTGCAGGGCTTACTCCTGGCTAAATGGAGTTAGGATTGGTGTCTTAGTGCTAGGGTCAGGAACCTGAGGCCTGAGGGCCAAATCCAGCCCTCTCCATCGAGCCCTCAGGAGTGTCTGCAGGCCATGCCTCTCCTCCACATCACATCCATCACTGGCACTGCTTTTAGGCCTCCTTCATGTGCTTTTGCTTGGCTGGAATGTGTCTTTGAACTGTGACAAATCCTATTGCTTGGATTGAGGATGGAGAGAGGGGTTTGTGTAGACATTTTTGCGAGGCTAAAACATAGGCCACTGTACAAAGTAAGAGTCATATCTGTTGCTCCACCCACTATTTTGCCCCTGGCTCCGCCCACTACAGGTATGTGGTGCCTGGAAAGTTGCCTGTGAAGGAATTTGGCTCTTAGGTTGGAAAAGGTCTCTCCCCACCCCACAATGCCTTAGGAGATGGTATTGTTAACTGAGCGTTCTAAACATGTGCTTGAAGATGCTCATTCTGGGCTGCATCCAGTGATTCCCTTCCTCTGATGGAGAGTGGGAATCTGTGGATCCAACTGATTAAAAATAATCATGCTTGTAGTTTCTCTCTCACACACACACACACTGCCAATTTGTAGTTTATAAAACTAGCCAAGGCTTGGTGTGATGTCTGAATTGATAAAATATGGTATGTATGTAATCGTCTAGCAAAGCATAATCCCAAAGCCCTGCTTTTGACATTTCAGCCATTGTTCTGTCTCTGAAGACTGTTGAATCCTAGAGACAGAAGTGAACTTATGAACCTGAATACTGCACTGATAGAAAATGAAGGCAGACAAGCCACTCTAAATTGTGATTCGAGTCTTGCAGGCTTTGGAAAGTCAAGCTATCATTCTAAAGTATTGCTAGTGCATTCTGTATTCTGGCACGATGTCAGTACTGAGCCAGAGAAAGTGAGAGGCTTTGGTTTCAGACATCACCTTGAAGCCATAGGAATGAGCTTTGTAAATAGAAATTAGAAACGTTATTAGTTTAGGATTAAAATGTCCTCTGCGTTGACATTACTTGTCTTTTCCAGATGTATCTATTGGGTTCTGTGATGTTCACTGTAAAGCAGTTACTTAAGGAGAGGAACCATAGGTTGCATTTAACACTAAGGTTTGTGCTCCATTTTTGTTCACTTGAAAAGAATCAGGCTTCCACATCAGTGTGTACTATTGGAAAACTAGGCCATTTAACTGCATGATTAATGCTGTTTAAACTGGGGTCCTTTATTGCACCCCAGTTCAGAAAGTGAAGTGTCCAGGCTTTTAGGGCTATGAATGCTCAACGAGACCTTTTAAAAATTTTGTGTTGTAATGAAATAAATATTGGAACTTCAAAGTTTCCTCTCATCCCGAGTGACTGTAAGGCAATTTAATGTTCAGCACAAATCTTGCACAGGGCAGAGACTTTCTGGTAATTCTTGTTAGTAGAACTTTGGTAAAGTAGAATATTTGTTTTGTGATCTTCCCCACCTAGCATAAAAACAGAGACTTGAACACCAACAAGTAACCTCAGGAGTCTTTTTCATGTGTTACTTGTGCGATGGGGAAACCATTGATATAAAGTATTATTTTTAATCTTCTAAAACCTCATTCTTCACAGTTGTATGTGTTCCAAACCTGCACTTTAATAAGTTCTGTGGGTTTTTGTGTTTTGTTTACACTTAGAAATGAAAGCCAATTTCAGGGCATGTCAGAAAAGCTAATTTAAATGTGTATTAGTAAGCCAGCTCCCAGATTCTGAAGGAATATAAAGATGTAAATGCAAAACATTGGTAACGATTCTCTTTGGCAGAGCTTTCATAGATCACAATGACAAGGAAATTGCATCTGGCAAAGTCAATTACATACATGCATATAAGTTTTCAGAAGTGTCCTTCTGCACTTCAACCTCAACATCACATTTATTTTTTTGAATTTTGGCTTAGGCCTTTGGCTTAATGCCAAAGCAGATGCAACTGCATTTGCTAGTATCCCTTCTCCATTACATGTCTCTCCTGTTTTCCCCTTCTCTTCCTGCTTTGTTGCCTGCCCTGTATTTGAAATGCGTACTGTAAACTCCTTGGGGCAGGGACCTGTGCGTTTTGCTTCTGTAAGGCCTGTAAAGCACTACAAAACTAGTACTATAAGCTCCAAGGGCTGAGAGAATGATTTTACCCAACCTTGGATCGCAAGAGGTTACAAAATACCCAAGGCTACACATATCCATGCATTTAGCATCTTGCTTATATTTTAGTATTTTTATATAGCAGGTCAAGTGTTGGATCCTGATCTTTTTGTTTGAGTCTCCATTCATGTAGCTAGAAAGAGTTAACGACAGAGGAAGCTGTAAGAATTGGGGTCTCTAGCCAAATGGCATAGTATGTGCAACAGCAACCAATCAATAGTCCTAGCTGATGGATCACAGCAATGGTGTGTGTGTTGCAGATCTGCTGAAAGTGATCGTGTTGGTAACATTACAGTCATAGGATGGCAAGTGGAAGAAAAAACAGACCAAAGGCCTCCAGTTACCAGGTCTCCTGACACCATCAATGGAAGGGTGAGTGACTATCTTGCCCTCCTTCTCAAGACAATGCTGGAAATAAAAGATGTGGTTGATGATCTCCTCACCACCTTCTTTTACACTCTCCCCAACCATCCTCAAGGACAATTCACACTGTGTTGCTGTTCTTTTAACCCATGGGGCTGTTCAGACCTTACTTGGGTGCAAGCTTTCAGGGGGCAAGCATACTGTACATAGCACAGCAACCAGTCCCATGATTGCAGTAGTTGTGCCACTATAATATCAGGAAGTATATCTGGGATTTTATTCCATGCTGATCGGCATCTCATTGCGGAACGATAATTTCAGAAGTGCGTGTCTTGTCGTCAATTTTTATTTTTCTCAAAATAAGCGGTGATCACCTGTCAAGATCACCTGTCAAGACTAGAGAGAGAGTCCGTGAGTTCCACTGGGTGTTACAAAAGATTATCACACTGACAGGTGGCAGAATATACACAAATATCTCTCAGGGTTTCTTTATGCTGTAGCTACATGTAAAACATCCCTGAATGCTACACATTTATCTGATAGCAGATCTTGTTAAAAATGTCTCAGAAGTAAACAGTCCTCTATAGCTCAGTACATTTTATTTTTTAAAAAAAGTCAGTGATGAAGCATTGCATTTTATGTATTAATACTATTCTCATTTTCTTCAGACTGTGCTGTCAGTTGATGAAAGTTTAACAGAATCTTTAGGAATCCGATCCAAATATGCTTCATTACGGAAAGACGTGTTGTTAAAATCCGGTAAGTACCTACCTGTGCTGCTCATTGATACTTCTGGATCCCATATAGCTCAGTGTTCCAGCAAATGACTTCCTAATCTTCAAATGCATGCTGAGTCACAGTCTTGACTGCATTAAAGGAGTTGGGTGCATCTGTATTTGTTTTAACTGATGTCATCTTGACGACATGCATGTAAGTAGATGGGAACAGGGGTGCACTGCTGACCTGAGTTTAAGAGCCTAAGAACATAAGATGAGCCTTCTGGGTCAAACCAATGGCCCAAATGGTGCAGCATCCTGTTCTCACAGTGGCGAGCCCAGAGGCCAGTCCTGCAAGCAGGACCCAAGCACGAGAGCCCTCTCCCCTCCTACAATTTCCAGCAACTGGTATTCAGAAGCATTAGAGACTTTGGTTGCAATTTCTGATCATTTGTATTAGTCTAATATAGTGTTTAGTGCCATTGTTGTTGGCCATCGTGTGGGGTTATTTTGTTCAGCATCAACTGAGCAGAGCAGAGCAATCATGGCTGGTAGCCATCAATAGCCCTCTCCGGCATGAATTGCTTAATCTTCTTTTAAAGCCATCTAGAAAGGTGGCCATCGCTGCCTTAATATCTTCCAGATTCAGCTGCATTGGATGTCTATGAATTCCAGGGTTACGAGAAAGAGAAAACATTTTCTCGATCCACTATGCCATGAATAATTTTATGAACTTCTGCCATGTCGCCTCGTACAAGCCTTTTCCCTAAGCTAAATATCCCAACATCTCTCCTTATAAGGGAATTGCTCTGTTCTTTATCATTTTGGATGCCCTTTCCTGAACCTTTCCAAACTCTACAATATCTTTTTTGAGATGAGGCAACCAGAACTGCCCTTTCTTCATGATCCCTTGCAGTGAATTCTTCACAGCTGCTGCACACTGGGTTGAAATTTTCATAAAACGATCGATAAATAAATAAATAAATAAATAAATGATAGATAGATAGATAGATAGATAGATATAGATAGATAGATAGATAGATATAAGCAAGCAGTACTGGCAGAGTTGCAGCGTAAAGTTCTTGATGCAAAATGTCTTGCAAGGTTTCCCCCCCAAAACATCACTGGAAGCAAAAGTTAGTTTTCAGTGGCAACAGTTGACATGCTGTGTGATCTAGAGAAAGCGTGTTTGTGTGTCGCTTAAGTGCTTCTCTGCATGCACAGGGAGACATGCCGTTTTTTGCTCACAGTTGCAGTGCCATGTGCTGTATGAAACACGTCTCTGGAAGGGCTTCTGTTAGAAGCACATGGCAGCCCACATTCACAAAGAGCTGCAGGAGGAGGAAGGGAAGTCCTTAGAGCAGCCTTCCCTAAACTGGTTTTGGACTACAATGCCCATTAGTCCCAGTTAGCAGGTCAGTAGTTGAGGATTATGGGAGTTGCAGTCCAAAGCATTTGGAGGGCACCAGACTAGGGTAGGCTGCCCTAGTGAATGCACATAAACCTTTGGATCTCGGCCACTGTTGTATCACTGGCTGAAGTCAGAGGCAGCTCACAGCACTGGGAAAACACTTCCAGCTCTCTTCTAGAAAGCTATATCCACAGCTGTTTCTGTCGTAACCAGCAGATGAAATGCTGATAAATCCTTTTGTGCCTCTCCCTGCTTGTTTTGTTTCTCAGCCATAGGAGGAGGCAAACTGCCCTGCAGCCCAGCTGCCTAAGATAGGCGGAGGGGTTGTGCTGTGAGCTCCCTTTCCATATCACATCTGTCTTCAGTCATGTTTCGTCAGCTGGGGATGCACTTGTAAGAATGATGCAACAAAATAATTGTGTGTGTGTCCGTATACATACTCCATTGAGACTCTTTTCTATATAACTTCGTCCTGTGAACTCATTCTGAGTGGCTTGCTGCAGAGTGGCAAACTAAACAGAATTGCTTATTTTTCAGTGTTTGTTGGACAAGGAGCATTACTCATTCAGACGCTTACCTAGCATCATCTATGCTGTTGCTAATAAAGGCTTCCTTTCACCAATATCAATGATTATGGTAGCACTCTCCTTGGACATCAGTGTTGGGAAGCTAAGACACTACCTGGAAACGAACAGCGACACAATTTATGTGATTGTGTGCAAGAGAAAAGTCCAGGCCACGTCACATGGATGAGGCTTGGATTGTGGGATCAGGATTGCCTGCAAAAGTGTGGTCCCGAAAAGCTCATTATGAAGCAGTTGGGCATCTGCGTTGTAACCCAAATATACATGTCTATGACTAGTCTAAGGGACGCAGGTGGCGCTGTGGGTTAAACCACAGAGCCTAGGACTTGCCGATCAGGTCGGCGGTTCGAATCCCACGACGGGGTGAGCTCCTGTTGCTCGGTCCCTGCTCCTGCCAACCTAGCAGTTCGAAAGCACATCAAAGTGCAAGTAGATAAATAGGTACCGCTCCGGTGAGAAGGTGCACTGCTCTGGTTCGCCAGAAGCGGCTTAGTCATGCTGGCCACATGACCCAGAAGCTGTACGCTGGCTCCCTCGGCCAATAAAGCGAGATGAGTGCCGCAACCCCAGAGTCGGCCACAACTGGATCTAATGGTCAGGGGTCCCTTTACCTTACCTTTATGACTAGTCTAACATTTTTAATGCACATTTTTTAAATAAAAAAACCGCAGTATATGGAAAAGTGATTCAAGAATTGATCAGACCTTAATTTCTGCTTTTGCTGTGGTTGTTTGAATATGTGCCGGTGGGGTGGGGAGTTAACTAAGTGTAATGCTGTTACATTAATCTTTTGTATGTTTTGGTGTAATAGGCCATTTGTGATCTCTAAGCCTCTTAACAACTTTGGTGTTAGAGGAATGGAGTCTGTATTATCTGGTAGCAAATTATGTCTTTTAACATTTTAGTGTTTGGAGGGGCCATTTGTCGGATGTATCGCTTCCCCACCACTGATGGGAACCACCTTCGGATCTTGGAGCAAATGGCAGAGAGTGTGCTCTCCCTACACATTCCCAGACAGTTTGTGAAACTGCTACTTGAGGAAGATGCTGCCAGGTAACCCCACCACCACCACAGCAGTCCCTATAAAAATGCTTCACACCTATGCTTTTGAAGTTGTTAAGAAAACAATATACTGTATGCAGCTTCGTTGTAAATACCTGCCCTCACAGCTCTGCATTTCTGACCCACTCTCCTGACCTGCCTTGCAAAATCTTTTGAAGGAGTATTGCTAGGAACGTCAAAAGTCCCAGTGGCACAGACCCATTTTATGAACTTGCAAATTTAGGCTGATTTTCCGAAAAAACAACAAATTCTGGTTGGGCTGCCTGAACTGTCATGGATTGTTTTCAGCCTAATTAACTGTTAGGATGTGATTCCCTTTTGTCTTCCTGTGACTGAAAGATGTTACCAGCTGAACTGAAACAGGGCTTTGTCAGTTTATACTATCAGATAACTTTTTGATAGATATAATGATAATCTGGCTAGCTCAAGTGGAGTCAGGACTCAGGATAAACCGAGTATGCCATGAGAAGTGCTGCTGTTGCTATTACATTATTCAGCCGCAGTTCTATAAAAAGCCAACCTCAAGCTTTCAGGTAAATCTTTAATGAGAACTGGTTCCCATGGCCTTTTACTGTTTTGAAGCTACTGGCGTTACACAGCCTAGTTGAAAAGTTATTTTAAAGGTGATAAAATATTACTACCGGTATATTGAAACTCTGATTTCTGCATACATCATCTGCTGCCGGTGTTGCTTGGCTATTATTGTGGTTTGTTGGACCTCAATTCATTTAGAGGTCACTGGCTACTTGACTCCTTTTGTGGTAGCTTTGTATTGGGTTAGGAAACTAAATTAGGGCAATGGCAAAAATTAGGAGGCATCTACACTAAAAACATATGTAAAGCTTAATGAAAGTATCACAGGAAACTCTCTTTGGACACATCTGTTTTCACTGATTTGAAGAGAAGCAAATATTGCTGATAAAAACATACTTGTGGGTTTGTGTCCAGCTTAATCCTATAGTCAGTCATAGTCACTGCTCTGTATCGGCCAAGAAACATTTCCCGGTGTTCTCCCATACCTCTCTGTATTTTTTCATTTTATATACCTCCCGAAGTTGATTGGTAATACTTTTTAGCTTGTTCACTGTTGTTATCTGAGCCTTATTTGGACGTTCAGGTCCCTCACATGATTAGAATTGTGTGAGGGAGAGGAGGGAATACACTGTCTGTCCCTGCCCTGAATCATATCCCTTGGCTCTCCATGTGTCCCCCATTTGATAAACTAAATTGATCCTAAATTGCATGTGGAACTTCAATAAGAACAGCAGGCTCCCTGCTGCAGATGTTCTCCTTCCAACCAAAGCAGGATGGTGGGTCAGGATGGACACAGGTGTCACTTGGAACATTGAGCATTACTCTGCTTTTCTTCTTAATGTGTATGGAAGAGAAGTCCTGAATAGGGCACTTCTCCATGAGTTTGGGGCAAGTATCTTTGAAATATTTCTTTTTAAGAGTTGGGAAGAGCTGTGTATCTGTGAACATGGCAGAGAAGCAAACCTCCTGGCAATGGGTTGGGAAAAGAGAAGAGTGGCACAGTCTGGGAAGAAGGTTTTTGGAGTGGCCCATGGCTCCTCAAGCCCCAAACCTGCTTATGTTTCAGCACCAGTTTTTAAAGTAGATGACTGCTCCATGGTGGCAGCTTGTTTCTCCATCCATCCTGCTTTTCTTTCTAGTCAAATGTTATGCCTGTGTATGAAATCCAGCAGTATTTGGGCATATCTAGTGTGCAGGGTGGAAAGGTACAGACACATTTCCTAATTATGCATAGCGGAACATTTTGGGGTGGGTGGGAAGTGGGCTTAGTCTGCTGGGCTTTGTAGAACAAGGATGGCTTTGGATACTAGTAATGATCAGTGGTCCTAATTCTTCAGTCACGAAGGGTTATGCATTGACAATGTACTGACATTTGCACCTTTTGATTCCTAGTAACACAGATGTATTGAAAACATTTCTCAAATCTTACTCTGCATGTGACATTTCAAAAAGGCTTAAATGAGTTCATTGGCATCACAAGCCAAAGAGGAATGAGAAGAAACAGGATTTGCAGAGGAGGGAAATGACTCAGGGAGAGTTGCTGAGTTTGATGGAACCACATGAGTGAGAAGTGATCTCTTCCAGTGCTTGACACAGAGCCAGTCACTCTCGTTTTCACCCCTTCAAAGAATGTGTCACTTACAATAGCAAACTCTGAATTGATTTAGTTTCCACAGGCAGAGTGCCATCAGATGGCTAGGTTTTAGGCAGGCCTGTGGGGAGCTTGTCTGAGGCCCAGGGTGCGGGTCATGTTAGAATAAAGTTATAAACTGAAACAAAAAAGCAGTCAGTCCCTGGCAGGGTCTAGCTCCCTTCCCCCAGCCTTCTGGCCAGCTTAGTCCTCCAAGGCCTGGGGCAAGTATATCTGGCTGGCTGCCCCCTTGCACGGGCCTGGTTTCAGGGTCCCTCCAAATCTCTCTCCTTTCCCCTTTAAAAAGGGAAAACCTCTCCTCCTGCAATTTTCAGAATAGCAAAATATGCTCACATGGCTTTCTATAGGTACCTCTGCAGGGCAAGTCAGGTTGTCCGTCTGGCCTGTGTTCCAGGTCACCTTTGATGGCATGCAAGTAATTTCTAATTCTACCCATTTCTGTGCTCAGTAATGATGCTGAGCTGTGGCTATGGTGCACTTGAAAATATTGTCCTGTTGCAATGCTTCAATTTTAGTGCATGTGCCACAGAAGTGAGGCCAAACCAAACCAAACGGAATGCTTTTTGATGATACAATAATCACACAAGCATCAACACTGCATGTTTCCTGTTTCTAGGATCAAACTTAGAGGCATTTGTAGAATCAGGGTTTTGTGCTTCTTCCCAAATGTGGGGACACCTGTGTGGTTAGCCTCCATAAGGTCACACAAGAGATGAAACAATGCACCAGAACGAACCTGTAGTTTTGTTTAGTTTAAGGCAAGTGTAAGGATTGGCTGTAGTCTTTTGTGCAGGTAGTATATTGTTCTGTATGGCTGTCAGGTGTAACAGTGCCACAACACCTTTTTTAAAACAAACAAACAAAGGTGCTTTGGGAGGGAGGGACTTTAGAAAACATAAGCAGATGGAGAGAAACCGTGCCAAACCCTTTCCCTGCTCATTTCCGCACTCAGACATACATGGTTTAGAACCTGTGTTTGCTTCCAATGGGACCCTTCCACAAATAAAAAGTGTACTTAGGTTTGTGGAAGAGTCTTTGGTCTAATGGACACATAGCCTGATGGAAGAGGGGGGAGGCAATTAATGCTGATTGCCTGCAGCCCTCCACGGATATCAAATGCTGTTATGGGCCATGCACAAACCATAAATTTAAAGCACATTTAACATCCCACCTCAAATCCTGAGAGCTGTAAATTACCCCTTACAGAGCTAAAGTTCTCAGGACTCTTTTGTGGAGGGGGAAGTTGTGCTTTAAATTTATGGTGTGGACACAGCCTAAGGGGTCCCCTAACTTTCTAGAGAATATTTTTGGCTGGCTGAAGGGAGCAATCTCAAGAGTCACCTCCTCTCTGCTAACAGAAGAGGTGTTCGTTGGATCAGAAGCACAGCTGAATTCATCCCTTTGTAGCACTGCATTCTGAGACATTTCCTTTGACCTTTTTTGGAGCTCAGTGTTTACAAATGGAAACTCGCAAAATTTCACAGGTATGATGGGGAAATCCCCCTCTTCCTCAGTGCTTCAGAGAGCGCCTTTCATGAAGTTGAACTGCAAGTCAGTTAAGCTTATCTTTCAAACCGTGTAGAAACCAGCCCAAACTTGACTAATGTCTCAAAATGGCCCTGATGTGCTTGAGGAAGGGGCTAGTAATAGATATAGTTGAAGGCAGATTTTGCTTTTTGTTGGTCATACAACCAAATTAATAGCATCTCCCTGTCTTTTGGGGTGTTTTTGTGTAGGGTTTGTGAACTTGAAGAACTGGGAGAGCTGTCCCCTTGTTGGGAAAGTCTTCGTCGGCAAATAGTTACTCAGTACCAAACGATTATTCTAACGTACCAGGAAAACCTCACAAACCTTCACCAGTACAAAGGTAACTGACATCTTTACCACCACCTCCACATAATACAGAATGCATGTTTGGAACTATGTTTGTATGATTATTTTTAAAACACCTGATGTAATGTATGATTCAGCTGTTCTCTAGAGAGAAACGGTTAAACTGTGGGCACATCCTATTTGCACCACAGATGTAGTGCCTGGGCGTGGAGCATTGGCACTAAAAAAGTTCTGTTTCACTCTCCCTTCCACCTCCATCTGTGCCCAGAAACCTGTGTGGGCAACTGGGTAGGACATAAGGAAGTGCATGCAGGACCAGCCCTAGCACTAGGCAGAGGGAGACAACCACCTCAGGTGGCAGATGCTAGGCGGAAGAAGCAGTTCCTGGCTCTGCCTCCTGAGCATCCCCAACCCTTCCCCTTTGCTGCCACTCATCTCCTTCTTCCCTTATTTACTTTGCTTCAGAGCATACTATCCTGTCACCGGAGCTGCAGGGTTTAACTGCTAGTCCACTAAGCTTCTGTATGTGAAATGGGGAAAGGATGCTCTCTTATCCTTCCCTTCAGAAAGAAAAACATGTTGGGCATTTTCCCTGCAACCCCATCCAGCCCACCCTTCTCTCTTCAGTGCAAGTAACTGGAGGGAAGGCTAGCTTGAAGATCTAAGAGATTTTCTATTCCCTGAATGTGCATCTGTTTATACCTTGCCTTTTGATGCAAACACCAAGGCAGCTCACAAGGAACAGTAAATTTCAAACAACTGGAAAGTGACACTAAAACCACAAGGGAAAACAATGAGAGCAGATGAAAGCAGCAGCAGAAAACCATTGAAAGGATCCTGATTACCATTAAAAGCACAGAAGAACAGCAAGGACTTTGCCCAGAGCCTAAAAGTAATATGAAGTGTGCCCATCTGCGTACGTAGATGGAGGAAGAAAGAAAACAGGGCTTTGAAGATTCCTACTGGGATTCTCCACCTGTGGTGCAAGTGGATTGTGTACCTTTAACTTTTCTTACCTCTGTTTTGTATCTGGGTTTTTGACTTCAGAATTCCATTCTTTAAACACAAAACAAAAAACTTGCCACTTATTGTCCAACCACACCATCCTAAGTTTCCATCATTCTCTGGCGTAAGCCAGGTGCCTTGAATATGCAGTTAAATGTGGTTTAAATGTATGGTGTGGATGTTGCCGTGTGGTGGGACTAGCATCATCTATTTAAACAAAGGACTTATTCAGTTGCATGGGGGGGGGAGAAATGGAGTTCACTTTTAACAGAAAAAGAGAGGGGTGCTGAACATTCCCAACATTTCTCCTTCATACCGTCCATCATTTTCAAAGAGGCCCTTTAGGAAATCTCATTGCCAGTACAAACTTCATGCTGCAGTTTTTGTACTGCAATTTGTCAACAATTTTATCTTGGTGGTTGCATTTTTATGGACTCAGCATGCAGAAATCATCTTCTTTATATCCTCAGGTCCATCGTTCAAAGCAAGTAGCCTGAAAGCTGACAAAAAGCTGGAATTTGTGCCCACAAATTTACACATACAGCGAATGAGAGTCCAAGATGATGCAGGATCAGGTATTTTTTTCTTGCTCATATATCCTGTAGGTTCTACTCACTCTCCCCCCCTCTCTCTCTCTCTCTCTCTCTCTCTCTCTCTCTCTCTCTCTGTGTGTGTGTGTGTGTTTTCCCCAATCCTTCACAGACATGTTGGGGTTTGAGCTTGCAACTTTTTCATGCAACTTATGTGCTCTACTGTTGAGTTACAGCTTTCATTTTTTTGAAAAAAGAAAGTTTCTAGCCCTCCTACAGAAAAAGTTATGAAGTGAAATGTGCGGGTACTTCAAAGCATTACCATGAAATGAGCCAGCCTGGTTGCTCCTGCTTGCCTGTGTTTTTAGCCAACCAGTGAAACCAGAGCTTTGATAAGTGAATTGTTTAGACACCAGCCATTGGAATCCCTGGGTTCCTAAGGGGCTGCTCTTCCCCCCTCCTCTTTAGTCTACTTCTCCTGCTTTTGCCTTATTTTCTAGTCCTCGGATTCTCCATAGTTTGCCCTTCCATTTCCCCCCTAGCAACCAGGATGCATCTTTCCTGTGCTGGGTTCGTCTGAGATCAGGTAGTCTCTAGAAGTTATTTTCTGCAAATACTACTACATACTCAGCATGAGTGGGTTTTAAAGACCCCTCTCTTCTAATAAAATGGCAACTGCAAAGTATGAAAATTCGCAGAATGTCTACTGTTCTGCAGGAGTTAACGGCTGAAGCCCAGGCACTCATTAAGAATGCACTGTTTAGTTAACTAACAGAACAATTATATACTTGTCTTTTCAGAACTAAGTCTGTGTTTAACAGGGCTTACACCCAGGCAAGTGGTTTAGGGGTGGCACTGGGCAAAAGTAGGGGTTTTGTGCCTTTGGCAGCTGCATGGCAGGCAGAAACTCAACAAGGTTACTCCTTTCCTAGTACAGAAATATGATTACAGGAAAAGCTTCAACGTGACAGCACTTTCTCTAATTTGTGTTATGCTGTGCCCCCCATAAGGGACGCGGGTGGCGCTGTGGGTAAAACCTCAGTGCCTAGGACTTGCCGATTGTAAGGTTGGCGGTTCAAATCCCTGTGGCGGGGTGAGCTCCCGCCGTTCGGTCCCAGCTCCTGTCAACCTAGCAGTTCGAAAGCACTACTAAGTGCAAGTAGATAAATAGGGACCGCTTTATAGCGGGGAAGGTAAACAGTGTTTCCGTGTGCGGCGCTGGCGCTGGCTCGCCAGATGCAGCTTCGTCACGCTGGCCATGTGACCCGGAAGTGTCTTCGGACAGCGCCGGCTCCCGGCCTCTTGAGCGAGATGAGCGCGCAACCCTAGAGTCGGTCACGACTGGCCTTCGGGCAGGGGGTGCCCCCCATGGCAGCTGTTTTGTTACTGGTACCCCACAGCACTCTCTCAGAAATCGAAATGTGCTCACTGGTCGAAAAAGCTTGACAACCCCCCAGATATATTAGGTGCTTTGCAAATTACATTCTTGTAGTGCAAATTCTCACAGGCTTGCAGTCTAAGTCTGAATGGTGAGTATTCTCCTTTAAACCTCTCCTCTTCCCTTTTGGTTTTGTTTAGATCAGAACTATGATATTGTAACTATAGGAGCACCAGCAGCTCACTGTCAAGGCTTTAAGTCTGGAGGCCTGCGGAAAAAGCTGCACAAATTTGAAGATGCCAAGAAACAGTAAGTAGAATGCTTGGTGGCTGTCTGCCCTCTCCTGTCGCCCCCGTTTTGTAAAAAGACTCTAATAGCTTGTGTCTTTTTTTATTGCTTCTACATATAGGAAGATTCAGTCCAAAACCACGAAGATTAGAGCCAGTTTATGGAAAGAGTTTGACAGAAGAAGGTTTTTCCATTTTTTCAGCCAGTAATTTTACTTCATTTTTAGATAGATAGCTTATGACAGCTTAATGAGCTATTGTATATTTAATATAAGCATTAGCCTTTCTGTATAGATGTGTAAAAGGTTTGACTGTACGTGTAGATTCCTGCAGTCCCTAAGTTTGACCTAGGCTGTTTTTACCCTTTGATCTGAGCAGCTGAAATCAAATCAAAGGATCAGAAGTCTGTGGGCAGCTCCTGGGTCCCTGTCTGCTCCTTATACTGCTACGGCATCAACATTTCCTGGCAACTTCATTTTTACTGTGTCTACTCCCTGTAGAGGGAGAGGGATGTTCAGGGAACACCCTGAAATAGTCTAGAAAATTGGTCTTTAACCTTTCTCCTAATTTTTCAATCTAAAGGTTTTTGAAGATTCTTAATGACTGTCTTTATTGAAGCTTCTCAATCTGCAGTCAGATGGGAACATGGCTAAACTAATTTTCCTAGCTTCTGTCTCTGTCATTTCCTAATAGGTGCCAAAGACCTTTCTTGAGAACATGCTGAAAGAGCGAGACTCCCTATTCTTTCTTGGTCTTTTAGCAATCATCTTAGGTTCTGTGAAAAGGAAATTCAATCAGTGCTTTTTTTTTTTTTTTAAGAGCGAGATAGTAAACTCTGACCCTTTTTGGAGTGGGCATTCCTACTATATTTTCTCATCAGAGAGCAGAAACCTTTTGTATTCTATAACTGCAGGAATGGCTTTGAGGAAGCACACTCTCTGGTTTCCTCTAGCAGCTGGTTCGTATGGAAGACAGAAGAGATAGGAGTGATTTACATTTCTACTTTCTGTGTTTTCGCTACAAAATTTTAAATACGGAATGTAAATCTTAATCCTTGGGTGAGATGCTCGATTCCCAGAGGGAATCGCTAGTAAACTGGCATACTGGAATTGCCACAGTTCTGACATTGCTCCCTGTCTACACCATAATACAAAAGGTTAAGTCTATACATGCCTGAAGGGGGGAAAGGTACTGGGAAAATGTCAAAACGCATATGCACATAAGTTTCTTAAGCTGGCCGGAAGTGTCTCAGATGCAGCATGGAGATGCAGATTCCATCCTCCTCGTCTTGTGGTCCCCACAGTCAAAACCAGAGAGGAAGGAGGACAGCAGCAGGGTGGGCTGGCTTCTAGTTTTGCTTGTTATTTTAAGCTGGAAAGACACAATTTGTGCCATTTCCACCCTTTCAGGTTTAAGTGGTTCAGTGGTAAACCAGTCACCCAGAAAGATAACACCTGCATGTGAAGAATACATGCAGAAATTTCCTTTTAGAGAGCCACTCTACTTGAAATCACTATGGAAGACATTTCATATAAACGTGCACCTTACAACCATCTCCCCACCCCACCTCGATCGTGCTATAGTCAGACCCATGTTTTCATCATAGCTGGAACTCCTGGCAAGGACTGGCTTTGGGGGAACATACCACATGTCTGCACTAACTGTTCTATCACTACTATTACTTGATGTTGTATTTTGCAAAAACATATTTGTATGGATAAAAATATGTAGCAAAGCTCTACACTAAACTACAATTATTTGATCTCTGTTGGTTTTAAGTGACTTGTTGTCACTGCCCATCAGGTATAGTTTTTAACCCCCAGATGGTGGTCCAGTAAATAGAATTATTCTTCCTGCTGGCTCTGTTGGTACCTGGGAAGAACATGGGCGCTGCAGTCCTCTAAATTTTTTGATGTTTAATATGTTGCGGAAACGCTGCATGAGTAGAGGGTGGGTGGAAGGAAGCAGCGCAACTCATTGAACTTGCTGCTTCTCCTTTATTTCTCCTCCTCTATAATATCTCCAGTCCTTCCTGTCTTCCTGCCTGCTAGAAGTCCCCTGGTCACAGCAAGGAGGGGGGATGGGGTGTTGTGAGGTCTGCATAAGGGTTATTAATAGTGATGAGGGGAATTCTTCAGTAATTTACACTGCGCAGAACAATAACAGAAACCAAAACACAGCTATCCTGTGGAATTTGATCTTCTAATATTACTGTGCAGTTCTCATAACAAAAATGTATCAAAGTGAACTGTGTATAAAAATGCATATATGAGTGAACATATACAAAACTGCATTACATTAGAGGAGACTGCTTGCAGAAATGTGTGTTAGGGGGAAATGCATACATAAATCTGTATATAAGGAGAATACATACTAAAATACTGATAAATTTCCATGATGTGGAAATCTGAACTTATTATTGGAAAAATGAGAAACCAAAATGGACCTATATATCCACCCCAAGCTATTAACCAACCCACACTTGGGTCAGGATTGCAAGAACTAATCTTCAGGGCAGTTCTTTTTTTAACTCCTTCCACCTCTCTGGATAGCAGACACTTGTGCCATATCAGAATCTGCTTCTAAAGGTTCCTTCTTTTACAAACCAGTTTGGTATTTTGGGTGGGAGGCTGATGATTAATGAGAAACATGAACTGTAACCCCCCCCCCCAAATCTGTGCAAAGTAAATTGTGTAGTTCTTTGGATCCCAGCCCATAGATTTGTGTTATGCTGCCAGATTGCAGAGTTATTTGTGCATTTTGCAGTCGAGCTCCTTGTGTCGCATGTAGCACCCATTGTGCTGATGCAGCCAGAAATCTATGGAATGGGTTGCAAGTCATAAACCATTCTGCATTGACTATGATTTTGTTTTGCTTACAATTTTAATGACATAAGCAAACCTTATTTGGAAAAAAAAATTTAAAACAACTAACATTGTTTATCTAATGTTGCTTTGCTTTGTTTTTTGCTTTTGGTATCTGCTAACAAATAATGGCTAACTTTCATTTGGTTTTATTTTTTTTAGCAGTTATGAGGAATGTTGGTGAGTTTTCTGTTTCTCAGTTTGGAGACAGAACTTTCCTGTTCGATCTTTTTCTTTTTTTAACAAAAGTTAATGTGTTTATGTACAGAGATGCCTCCCCCTTTTAATACTTTGCATTTGCTTTTGCTAATTTTGCTTTGTTCAGTTAATGTGGTTGTTTACTGGGGTATGTTGCATGGTTTAATTTGATCTTGTCATCTGCCTTCTTAATGAACAGCTATGAACATTGGGAGCCAATTTAATTGGAATGCTTCAACTTTAAGAGACCATTTTTGTTAGAAACTGAAAATACTCAGAATACGACAGGAACCTTTTACGTTATATTGGTCACTCTTTTTATGCATCCACAAATGTATGAAAATTGGTTAGATGATTTGGGCTTTGAACTTCAAGTTGCCAGTGAAAGCTGATAGCTGTTCATTTGGGAGAATGATGGCAGATAGTAGTTTGTTGTCTGTGAACTTCATACCATCAAATAATTTATTTCCTCTTATTTGGCAATAGATTTGCTTCCCTTCTTTTAATATGAGACTCACCAGGCTGCATGGACTGTGCTGCCAATTATATCCTAATTCTCCTGCATGATATCTCCCTTATTGTAAGAAAAACAGTTAATAACTCTGGATAGTTGGATGTGACCATTGAGATGGTGCAGAAATTTTTAAACAGCTGTCCCATATAGGAACAAGGAACCCTGGCAAAAATCCAATAAAAGAGGCATGCTAAAGCTATTTTGAATCAGTAGGTTTAAACATGCCAAACAGAGTTTGATAAAGGCTGCTGTCCTTGAAATTGCTGGTCAAGAGCCATAAATGACCCAATTGCTATGATGATTGCTGACAGTTTCCAGTCAGTGGTTTTTAAGACCTTTGATCCTGCAAAGTTAGGAATTCTAGATCCATTTTGTCTAAACAAATGATGTGTACAACAATAGCCACACTCCCCAAAAGTAGTGTCCAATATTACCAGCCCTGTTCCATGTTGGCATCTCACTCTGAAAACCTGATCCAGTTTCAGAAGCAGTTTGCTGCCCGTGTGGAACAGCTGTTGTTTTGAAAAAGAAGAAGATGTGCCTTTAGGCTTACATACCCACATGATGGGATCTTATTTTCAACTCGGCATTCTGTCAGTATAGCACTCTCCCACACATTTTTGCTCTAGGACAGGAGAGAGGAACCTGTGACCTTCCTAGATGTTGTAGGACTATGACTTCCATCAGCCCCGGCTAGCATGGTCAAGGGACAGGGATTATGGGAGCTCTGTAGTTGCATCAGCAATATATGGTAGAGGGTTAAGGGTAAGAATAACATCCTGGTTTTGCAACATGTTTGGGACTGCAAAAACAGTGAGGGTTGCAATCAGATGGTGGTCCATACAGCACTTGGCTGGTGGAGTCTGTTTGCCTTGGCTGGTCACAGGCAGTGCAGATTTGAGACTCATGCTTAAATGAATGCAAACTGGTGAGGAAGATTGAACATGGGGCCAAGCAAAGCTCCACTATCCTCTTGTGTGTGTAAAATGACACCAGGCATCGGCTGAGGTCTTTTGAGTTGGTAGAAGGCAGAAATTGAACAGCGTTTTCCTCCCTCAACCACTAGGGAGAGCTCAACTCTTGCCTGATGTCATCTTTGCATGCACAGACAAGACCTTATCGTGGTAAGGACTGATGGTTAATTCTGAGTCAAAGGCTTATGAGCAGAAATAGTTTTGCTTTGTTTATTTATGAAGTAGTGATAGTTCTAGTAACTGTGAGCTGCCTAGAGGACTTTGAAGCCTACCAAATGGTAGGAAATAAATTATCTTTTAAAAAATTATTTGTTTGTTAAATGTGAATGAATAAATAAATGTATGTTTAGAGCAGGGGATTAGGCTAATACTGCAATCCTAACCCCACTTATCTGGGAGCAAGCGCCACTGAATTCAGTTGGACTTTCTTCTGGGTAGACACGGTTAGAAGTGTGCTATAGGTCACATTAAGACCTCATTCAGTGAGTGCCATACCCTGTCCCTGTGGAAGTTATGAGCAGTCACTTGGCGTGTGCAGCATATTTTGCCACCAAAGTGCTTTCATTAAAGGCAGAGTTGGGCCTGGGTGGTAGTCTGAACATGAGTCCTTGTAGCACCTCTCGGTCTCTTCATGCTTGATAGTTAATTGGGAGAAACTGTTTGCCTGTGCTTTCTCCTTTTTCAGCATGAAAAAGGAATGGGATTGCATTGCTGATCTGTTGGATTGATTTTTATTTTTATGTTTTAAAAATATTATCCGTTTCTCCACTCCCCAGCACTTCGACCAATACCCAGTCAATAGTGTACATACCACAAGATATTATCCGAGCAAAGGAGATTATTGCTCAGATCAATACTTTGAAAACTCAAGTTAGTTACTACGCAGAAAGACTCTCCAGAGCTGCCAAGGACAGATCCGCCAATGGGCTTGAAAGAACACTTGCCATTCTGGCAGATAAGGTATGGGATATGATCAAGAGTCCCTATGTCCTATTGTGGTCTCTCTGAATATACTGAGAAGGCAGCCTTGGCTATCCTGTTTGAATATTAAGTTTTGACTGTAAGAGAACATGGCAAGGCAGTCTTAGTGGTTCCTCTGCAGTTCCTGAATTCATGATGGAATATGGACTGTAGAAAGAGTTGCAAAATACTTTGTTGTTTCAATCCTTTCTAGACACGGCAGCTTGTCACCGTCTGCGACTGCAAACTGCTGGCAAATTCAATACATGCGCTGAATGCTGCAAGACCAGATTATATAGCTTCAAAGGCCTCTCCAACCTCTGTAGAAGAAGAGCAAGTGGTACTGAGGAATGACCAAGATACCCTGGTGGCCAGGTGGACAGGAAGAAATAGCCGATCTTCTCTACAAGTGGACTGGCATGAAGAAGAATGGGTAGGTTTGTTGACCTGGGATTCAGTTTCTATTAGCAGTCTTGCTGCTGAAAGCTTGAGGGGTATAGTTATACTACATCTCTCCATTCTGTAGATTTGGGTTTTCAAACTGTGGTCCAGGGATCACCAGGGATCCATGAACTTCACTCAGGTGAAGACACTGTGTGTCTTTGTTTCTGTGGTTGAAGAAGGGAGGTGCACATCCATCACATTAAATAATAATATTGTATTTTATTGTTTTGAAATTGGAATTCTGTGGAATTTAAACTGAATTCAGTAAGATATATATAAGAAATAAAAGCAACCAAATTACAATTATAATCATAAATTTAGCACAGTACATTACAATTGCTGCCGAAAAGGTATGAATTGGTCTGCCAAGAATCTCAGCAATTTTCAAGTGGTCAGTGAGGAAATTTTCGGGGAAAGTGCTGTTACAGGCACATTTTCTATGGAAAGCAAAATCTGAAGACTAGCATCTACTATTGGAAGGCTCTTCAACTAGTCAGCCATCAGCTTTATAACTGATAAATGATGTTAACTGATATTCTTGTTAGGAGCAATGAAAAATGGTGTCATGCAGGCCAGTCCCCAATTAGTTTTCCCACCAAAATATGATCAGAATTTGTAGCCCTTGTTTATATTGGTATGAGACAGAAAATGATATGCATTATTTAATGGATTTCATCTCTCTTGAACTGCCTGTACAAATGGGAGCAACAATATCTAAACAAGTTTTCTAACTTCCTCGGATGCTATGCTTATTTTTTTTATAGTGGAAAGCAAAGGATGCTGTAACATCTTGTAGGACTTGAATCAAACTGTGCAGTTTCATCCAACCAGAAAATGATGTTGACTGTTTTTTAATTCCGTTGCAAAGTTAAAATGGCTAGAAAAGGGTTGTAAAGCACGTGTACTGAGCACCTTACAGGGAGAGCCTATAAAATACACCCTCATAAAAAATGGAAAACATTCTCCTGAAAGATAATCTTGTGGCTGAGCCCATTGTGTTGATAAGTTTCTTGTTCTACTTCGGGCTTCTTCAACTGCTATTTTGACCCAAGATCCTTCCTGCAGTGAGATCAGAATGATGTAACCATGTTAAAGTTACAGGAGTCTTTACTTAGTCTGTTTGTTTTTCATTCCTTCCCAGGAAAAAGTCTGGGTGAATGTTGACAAAAGTCTTGAATGCATTATCCAGAGGGTGGACAAACTCCTCCAGAAAGAGCGTTTACATAGTGACAGCTGTGAAGACGTTTTTCAGTGTGACACCAGCTGTTCTAGCAAGAAAGGTAAACGGGATACCCGTGCGTACTGGATAAAGCCACACACCTCATCATCTTCGTCATCCCCATCATCTTCATCCATACCATCCTCTGCATGCCATTGTCCCCAAGACACAAGTGCGTATGACAGCCATGGCTTCTTCCTGCTGCTCCTCCGCTTTGGCATTTTTCTTACCCTTTTCTCCATGTGGTGCTTATGATTCAGTGGCTGCATTTAGACAATCAAATCTCAGCTCAACAAGCTTCACGGACCTGCACTGTGCTCCTCCTTTGAAGCATGATTGAGGAAGCCAGCCAGGAAGCTGCAGTTAATGTTGGCATCAGAAGCAGGTTCTGTATCTATGCTGAGCAGCTTCCAAACAAGGCCTGAGAGGGAGCCATAGTTTATAAATGGCATCTAGGTCCTCACTTGTTTGGAAGCTGTTAACTATTGTTTCCAGTCTGGTGGGCATGTGTGGCTGGTTAACTGTGGTTTTCTGGCATGCTTGCTTGCTTGTGCAGTGAAAGGAAGCTGGAGCAAAGGGATTGTGTGCAGGTGTGTGAAACTTGTGCATATCTTGGTGTATGGAGCTGAGATCTGGTCATCTGAACGTGGCCAAAATGTATGCTGCAGGAGAGATGTGGGAGCCATTTTTCCTTAGATTTATTTCAAGATGCTACTCTCATGTTTCTCCTGAAACATGTGGATTAAGGTCTCCTCTGCATAGGCCCTTACGCTGGTAGGGTGTTTCTAAATAAGACCAACAGGTCAAACAGGGAATGTCTGCACAAGAAAAGCCAGATGAGTGAGTAGAGCTTGGGTGACTGTTTTGCTGAAGTGAACTAGGCGCTAACGCAGTGACAATGTGAGGAGGTGTGAGAAACTGCTGGATTTTGCTTTGGGGCTTTGGCAAAATCGCTTAACAGCATTTTCTGTTTAGTTCTATATATTGCTAATTTGTATTTGCATTGAGGACTTCCGGTTCATAGTTCATGTTCTTTGCTTATAGTTCAGAAAATTATATACTGTGTAATATTTCTGTACATCAGGTCCCTGCAGTTGAAAGGTTCAGGCTGGTTTAGTCTGAATCAGATTCTTCTGTTTCACTCAGCTGATAGAGGGGCATTCTCTGTTGGCCTCATTCCTGTATATTTGTCAGAGTATGGTGACTCTTAGGGCACTTCTCATGTGCCTCATTGTGACTACATAACTAGGCCCCATCAGGAGTGTGGGAATTTGCAAATTGAGCATATATTTAGGTGACATTGTTGAACTTCTAGGCCTGAGTTTCCCAAAGTTGGTCCCCAGCTGTTGTTGGACTACAACTCCCACCATCCCTAGCTAGCAGGACCAATGGTCAGGAATGATGGGATTTGTAGTCCAAAAACAGCTGGAAGCCCAAGTTTGTGAAATCGTGCTAGGCCATATTTCCCCCTTGTGCTTTGATTTGTTGGCTTGTAAATGGGTAGAGAAATTGTATTTCCAAGTGTACACAGATTTTTTTTTAAAGTATACACGTGTGTGATGTCTATATGTTACACCTGTGTTTCTGTAACAAATGTGTAACTGATTCCTCCACCCCACCCCATGCCGATCACAGTGTGTAGAGCTGCCCTGCCAAATTCTTTGTTGTGTTACATTGAAGGATATGTTAGAACTCAATAGTTTCTTTCGAGGACTGAGAACAGTCTGCTTTCTTGTATGACATTTCAAAACAATTCATACAACAATTCGTATGAGAAGGCAACTGAAAACTACCTTTCTCATACTGTATTTTCATTATGTGTCTTCACAACAAATTTGTATTTGTGATTTCACACAGTCATTTCATAATTAATATTTCTGAGGTACAATTTTTTTAACAGAGTAAAATGCTGTCTCATGAAATAATATATTTTTTTCTTTTAACTTATTAGGTGCAGAACTAGTAGTGTATGATTTGTCAAGCTTTGTAACCTATAACTTTTCTGTGTTTCTGGTTATTCATTCCATATGTTGTTAAGAATTAGCAAGATGCAAGGATGAAGAACTGAGTATTGATCCCTATGAAATAACTTAGATAACATGAAAACCAATGCCTTTCAAATGTTTGCAGATTGAATTTAAATCTTAAACTTCTTTTTTTAATAAGCTGTGTGACAATATGTGTGGGGAAGATATATTGTCTGAATCAAGTAATTGCTAAAGAACTTTCACATCAGAGTGATTAAGAAATGGATTTCACTCAATGCAGTCAGTATCTATTATACAGCGCAGTACTGTATAATTTTTGTATGTGGCAAACATTCTCTCTCAATTCATCAAATGTTTTCTGATAATGTATTGGCTGAGAACCATTGAAATTATGGATCAACATGTTTCAATGCTTGCCGTTGTGCTCAGCTCAAGCTGTGCACCATTGCTTTTATGTTTACATGCACAGAGGTGCACTGTTTTCAATTCCAAGTAGTTTAATTTGCAGTCAAAGGCATATTGAAATGCCAGAACGGCTTCATGTGGAACGTGTTGAAAACAGGATGTTTTTAACTTTATTATTTATAGCATGCCTGATGTGCTAGACGCTATACAAGTTAAAAACAAACCTAGTCCCTGGCAATGGCTTATAGTTTAAAGGTGCAGCCTGAAGAATGAGCTAGGGAATGACAATGGAGCAGAGTAGAAAGAGAGAGAAAAGAAATCACATGTAATGACTGAAAAATTATGAAGCGACTTATATTTGAAATGTGAAATGAGACAAGTAGTCTGCCAAATTAAAGATTAGTAAATGAGGGAAATTATTTTTCACAATGATCGTAGCCTCTTCTGATTTGAGTTTTGGCCATGTGATTAGATGGAGAGAAGCATATTATAATTTGAAAGAAAGCCAGTGCAGATTGGAAAAAGCTGTTGTTTACAGCGAATCGCCCTCTGACTTGAATGGAAGAAGTATGAGATCAATAATTCTTGTGAAAAGAGATGCTTTTGTTTCAGAAATCTAGTTGTCATGTGAGTAAATCCTATACCCATGTTATAAATAGGTTTGGGAAATACAAGGAGCCAACGAGAGGAAATGGAAGAATAGTGCTCTCAGATTAGTGCTCTTAGAGAACACGTCCCAATTCACCCAGGACCAGCTTGGTCCAGTTCAAACACATACTGTTTGTGCAACTTCAACGCATGCAGTTTCTGGTAGCATCCCTTCATTCCTTAGTTTTCCTCTAACTGCTGTTTAAAAAGTTAGCTTGGTTCGAGAATGGCTGAAAGTGAATGCCCAAGAGGCAGCTTCCCTTTTTTCTTTTCCAAAGCCCCAAACTAATTTAAATGGGGAGGGATCTTAAAAGGCACCTTGTGGTTTTGGTGGGAGGAAATGGCGGAACAAAACTCACATTTGTTCATACTGCCCTGCAAAATAATCAGTGAGACATGATCTTCCAGTTCTAGTTGATAGCATCTCTTCCATTCATTTCAGTGGGAACTGGATCCAGCCTTAATTTTGGCCACTGTGGCTCCTAGGAATATGACCTAGATATTTTGAAATTTGTGTAATAACCTTCACCTCTGTTTCATACATTGTATGGCACAAATTCAAACTTGTCACTGAATGTATGAATGATCCTCAAGTGCTTAGTCTTGTTCCTTGGTGAGCTAGCCTACAAAAATATGTGCATTTGCAAACAAGTTTGTCATATTCACACTTTACAGTTTCAGGCGCACATGTAAAGTATCTTAGGTGTACACCTAAAAATGCCACATGTGTGTATTAGGGTTACTTAATGCACCCAAAAACTCTTGCCAGTGTTCTGCTATTCTATTTAGCTGCTTTTAATGCAAGTCATTAAGCTAGTGGTTCTCAAACTGTGTTGTCTGTGGCTCACATACAGCTGTTTCCAGCAGACTACAGAGACCTATATTTTTCCTGTTGTCATGCTCACTTCTCCTCCTAGTTTCCAGTGCTAGAAATAATTTATAACACCTTGTTGTACCAAGCACAAGCGGTTGTGGAGTATTTTATGCTGGCACAATCAGGAGGAGAGGTGATCAGTGGTAGTCTGTCTGTGGTGTGCCACTTTGCAGAAAAAAGCTTGAGAACTTCTATACTAAGCATTTCAGTTGCCTATGTTTAAAATATGTTGCTTCCCCTTAATCATGCATGTTGCACCTCCATTTTTGTGCAGATTGCAGTCCCACTCCTGAAGAGACTGGCCCAGGTATGTGTGTGCTTTCTCCCCTCCATTCACAGTATTTGCTTCTGAAAACTGCAGAAGAAAAAGGTTGTCTGTGCACCTAACACAAATGACTTTTGCTGATGCTAATTTGGGTACTGCTACATGAATAAAAGTATTTTTGCTCTTAGGTTAGTAGGTGCAAACTGGCCTTCCTTGCCAATAAATTTCAACACACAGTAATTATGTGACAGGAAGATATTTTTAAAAATATGCTGGAAGGCAGTCATATGTAGCTGCTACTGTCTAGTTAAAACAGGTGTTGCCTCTTTTGTGTATGTCTGCAGAGTGCTGGTAAAACTGGTTTTAACCCATTTGGTCAGAGGCCACATTGAACCACCTTCAATTTGGGTTTGTTTGTGTGTGTTAATATTCTGTGGTTCTTTACTGGGTGGGTACAAAATGCTGAGTAATGCTTGTTTGTTTTCCCCCTTTCCTTTAAAATAATGCTGGGAAGCAGATGAGGCTGGAAGCATGTGACTTGCCCTAGATTAAACCAGAATTTGAACCTGGGTATCCAAACCCAACACATTATCCCTTGTGCCATGCTGGCTGATCTTGAGAGAAGAGACATGAGCCACCTGATAGCATATTACAGAACTTGTGGGGGGTAGGGGCCAGAATTCTCTTTTTTTATATAAAAAGAATTAAAATGTGTTCAGGTTTGTGTGTAGATTGTTTTTTAAGTTTGCATTTGTTTCCACAGTATAAACTGAATACCTACTATAATTATTTTGAGTTTTTGTCTCTTTAGCTTGGCTATTTAGAAATGTTTTGTAATTTCTATACACTGAAAATGGCTGTGCCAGAGAAACTATCCATTGTTCCTTTTTAAAAAATTGTCTATAAAAAGCACTTCAGAACAAATACATCAAGAGAACAACCTTTATTTTTCATTGCATAGATAATCTTATTTAGAGTACCAGATTATTTTGGAAAAACTATCATAAAGAGCAGCTTGCCTACTGTTAAAATAATCCAGCTGTGTTCTGAGGCATAGGGCCAAATAACTTTCTGTGTGTGTGTGTGTGTGTGTGTGTGTGTGTGTGTGTGTGTGTGTCTGTCTGTCTGTCTATCTATCTATAGGATGGGACACAGGTTTAAGATACCACAGTACAGTGGTACCTCGGGTTACATACGCTTCAGGTTACATAAGCTTCAGGTTACAGACTCCGCTAACCCAGAAATAGTACCTCAGGTTATGAACTTTGTTTCAGGATGAGAACAGAAATCGTGTTCCAGCAGCAGCTCTGGAACGAATTAAGTACTTAACCCGAGGTACCACTGTACTTTATGGTATTCTAACTGCCCTTCATTTGAATGGCTGTCAAGGAACAGAGAGTATTTGCTTCGAGAAGAGCAGCTTGTACCAGAATGCTGCACATTCATAATAAACCATAGGTTATTTCAGACAATGGCTTACTGTTACATTCTAACAGGGCCAGTGGGTTCAATTTATGGCAATAAGACTCTTCTACTTTGTCCCAGTGTGGATGTAACTATTCTCTAAAACTAAGTTTAACTCTCTTCTTTGACGCAAATTCCCCCAACTGTCTCTTACCCATGGTGTAGCATTACATAGGCACATGACTTACCAAGGTTAGCTTTAAACAGGTTTTGCAAATCAGTTTCAAATCCTGATTTCAAAGTGGTTAAAAATCTAACCTTGGTTAGCATTGGCATAGATGTAATGTTGCACTACAGCCAGTTCAGACAATGGAGAGTAAAGGCAAGCATGAGCCATGGGCCTACGTCCAATCACTCAACCATGGCTTAAGAGATATGCAGCCTTAAATCCATACCAGGCCTTTAAGCTGCGTTAGTATGTTTCTTAAAAGCTGTTTCTTTTTGAGTATTTTTATTTTAAAAATTATATATTGCCATTAATTGCCTCCTCCTTCCTTTTGAAAACTGCAGGTGAATGGAGTGAGGCCCTTTACCCATTGCTGACAACACTCACAGACTGCGTAGCCATGATGAGTGACAAGGCAAAGAAAGCGATGGTCTTTCTCTTGATGCAAGATAGTGCCCCAACAATAGCTCTTTGCTTGAGCCTTCAGTACCGACGGGATGTTGTCTTTTGCCAAACTGTAAGCAAGAAAGTAGAATTCATACATTAGACTTTGGATACCTTTTTTAAAAAAAGGAAGAGTAACTTTGAAAGCAGTAAGAATTACTACACAATTCTGAACCAATCCCCCACCCCCCACCGACTTCAGCAGCTTTGGCTGCAATCTCTCCTGGGCCTAGATCCTTTTAAACTAGAGAATGTTTTAATACGGGGGGCAGGTAGCTGGATCTGACCTTCATTAGGACATTTAATCTCATTATACTTTTACAAGGGACAAGGGTGGTGTAAACCACAGAGCCTAGGGCTTGCCGATCGGAAGGTCGGCGGTTCAAATCCCCACGACGGGATGAGCTCCCGTTGCTCGGTCCCTGCTCCTGCCAACCTAGCAGTTCAAAAGCACGTCTAAGTGCATGTAGATTAATAGGTACCGCTCTGGCAAGAAGGTAAACGGCGTTTCCGTGCACTGCTCTGGTTCACCAGAAGCGGCTTAGTCATGCTGGCCACATGACCCAGAAGCTGTAAGTTGGCTCCCTCGGCCAATAAAGCGAGATGAGCACCGCAACCCCAGAGTCGTCCGTGACTGGACCTAACGGTCAGGGGTCCCTTTATACTTTTACAAAAGCCAAACACGATTTGCAGCAATTGCTATCTGGATTGGTCATTAGTGGGGGTGGGAGAGCATGGAAGGGAAACTGTGCATTGTTTTGCATGTGCGTGCACTCCAATTTTTTTTTAAAAAAAACCCTCAAGTTTTCTTCACAAAGTTAAAAGAGGAACAGTGCTTCACCTAGGATGCATAGTAAAAAAAAAAAGGGAGGGTGCATTTAGGGCAGATGGGGCAGTGCTGGTACATCCAGCATTAGTTCTCCCTGTCTTCAGTGTGGTATAGCATTATTAAAGGTAAAGGTACCCCTGCCGTACAGGCCAGTCTTGCCAGACTCTAGGGTTGTGCGCTCATCTCACTCTATAGGCCGGGAGCCAGCGCTGTCCGCAGACACTTCCGGGTCACGTGGCCAGCGTGACAAAGCTGCATCTGGTGAGCCAGCGCAGCACACGGAACGCCGTTTACCTTCCCGCTAGTAAGCGGTCCCTATTTATCTACTTGCACCCGGAGGTGCTTTCGAACTGCTAGGTTGGCAGGCGCCGGGACCGAACGACGGTAATAGCATTATTACATAACTCTATTAGTACTCTGCTTAAAAGCTAGAAACACATCTATTTATTTCAGCATCCTATGGGCATTTGGACCTCAGCGGGGGGAGAATTTTCTTGCCAAGCAGAGCTTCTGTTTGTAAATAAATATAGGACTCCTGAGGTGTCTATAGTCCATCCTCAAAAGTTCTTTTTTAAAAAACTATCTTCTCATTTAAAACACATTAAAAGGAGCCAATGAAGTTAGGTGTACAGATCATTCTTTAAAATTAGGGAGTGGGTCACTGGTGTCCTACCTCTGGCATGAGGGTTTTGGAAGGTCTCTTCATAAGTCTTCAGTTACTTCATTTCTCTATTCTCTTACACAGCTCACAGCCCTTATCTGTGGCTTCATTATCAAGCTGAGGAACTGCCTGCATGACAATGGATTTCTGAGGCAGCTCTACACCATTGGTCTGCTGGCACAGTTTGAAAGCCTTCTGAGCACTTATGGTAAAAACTGGCTGGGGCAAGCATGTCATATCCTTTTACGACTTACTGAACTTCATTCACTGCAGAGTGTTGGCAAGGTGCATGCAGAGGGTTAGAAATGTCTTCTTGATCTGCAACAAAAAGAAGTTTAGAACAAAACTACCGTATTTTTCGCCCTATAGGACGCACCGGCCCATAGGACGCACCTAGCTTTTTGGGGGGGAAATCAAGGGGGGGAAAATTATTTCCCCCCCAGGTTTGCGCAGCCATCCCCAAGCTAGAAGAGGGAGACGGAGCGCTCCGTCTCTCTCTTCTGCCTTCAGGGACAGCCTCTCTAGCCTCCGTGGGGCAGCGGCTTGCCCCACTGTCCCCCGAGCTTATGGGGCTGGCGATGGGGAGAAGCAAGCTTGCTTCTCCCCCCCGCCAGCCTCCAGATCAGGTCCGGGAATAGCGGGGTGATGGCGCTCCGCCTCCCCGCTATCCCCTGAGGCTTGTGGGGCTGGCGGGGGGGGAGAGAAGTAAGCTTGCTTCTCCCCCCCCCCCCCGCCACCAGCCTTCAGATCAGGTTGGGGAATAGCGGGGTGGCGGCGCTCCGCCTCCCCACTATCCCCCGAGCTTGTGGGCTGCAGGCTGCTGCCCGCAAGCTTTGCGAGCTGGCGGGACCTCCTGCCGGGCTGGCAAGGCTTGCGGATAGCTTCCTGAAGCCTGGAGAGCGAGAGGGGTCGGTGCGCACCGACCCCTCTCGCTCTCCAGGCTTCAGGGAAAGCCTGCATTCGCCCCATAGGACGCACACACATTTCCCCTTCATTTTTGGAGGGGAAAAAGTGCGTCCTATAGGGCGAAAAATACGGTATGTTGTAATGTGGTATTTGGTACATAAAATATTGTATAACTGAAAATAGATGTGTGATGACCTTGGTCGAAATACAGAATACCGAGCAACCAGCTTTTGGTTTTTATGAAACAACTATATACAGTAGGCATCGAAAATACCTCATCAGAAACCAGTTTTGAAATGGTGGAAATTTTCAAAAATACTCTTCAAGTTGAAAAAGAAACACTGCTGGGCATGCTTATGATTGTGTCCTTCCTTAAAAGTACAACAAAGTTTTACTTGTTACCATCTTCCTTCTGCCCCCCCCCCCAAGGAGTTTAGACGTTAAGGTTGAAGAGTAAACCAGATTCACAAGGACACAATTGAAAATAACTATTTGTAATACTTTGAACATAGAACTAAAGCAAAAAAAACCCAACACCACATTTGGGGGGTGTTCTTGAGCAAATTGTCCAAACTATATATATTTTTTGCAAAAATTCAAATGAGTATTCTCCCGAATTGCTTTTCTCTAGAATTCCCAAGTTACAAAGGCTGTTGTTTATAGAGTTGTTAAATTTTATTTATTAAAAAAAATATAAGGGGGTTCGTAACAAAAAAATCACTAAAATACAGTAAAATAATAAATTCATTGGCATCTACAAGTCCAGATAAAACATGTTAAACTGTTATTGCAATAGTAGCCAGCAAAGGCTTCAGAGAACTATTGAACTTATATTAGATGCCTAAATGAGATTACTGTTGCATCATATGGGAAGGCATTCCACAAATGTGACTGGTAAAAAATAAGGTACAAAGTATCAAGTTCAATTGAAACCAATTAAGATTACTAGATTGAATAAAGGTGGCTAGTGGCTAGTTTGTTAAAAGACCTCTTCAAAATAAAATTTCAAACTCAAAATTTATTTCACAAAATTGTAAAGCTTAAATTTCCCTGTTTTTTGTGTTTCTGCCAAAATTTCATGCTTAAAAACCATGTCTGCAAAATTATTTTTGATGAGCCACAATTTTGTGAGCTGAACATTTAAGTATATGGGCACAACTGTAAACGCATTGATTTCTGTCTTCAGCGAAACACATGCGGCAAATTTTCAACCTGTAATTAAAGTGTATTAATTTTTGCAACCCAGCTGAGGTTGAGAGGATTCAGGAGTGTAACAAGAGTAACAAGATTCATTTCACGTGGGGTTGTGTAAAATCAGGAAATCACATATGTTACACAACACATTTTCTTTTTAATACTAGGGTGTCTGAATTCAAGTCAGTTGGCAATAGCTTTTTTATATATATTTAAAGTATGACTACTTATAATCCCATTCATCTTTTCTTTGTTTAGGTGAAGAGCTGGCAATGCTAGAGGATATGAGTGTTGGGATAATGGACTTGAGGAATGTAACGTTTAAAGTAACTCAGGCCACCTCAAATGCATCTGCTGACATGCTACCAGTCATTACAGGAAATCGGTAAAGAAAAAGGGCAGGGGAAAGGGGAAAGAGAAGTGAAAGCAAGTTTTGCTTCACCAAGGACACTTGAATGGCACAGAGAAAAGTAAAGACCTGGGCAAATGCATAGTGATCCAGTACAGAAATACTTTTTGAGCTGGTTTTATGGAATGGCCCTAAACCTTTAACCTTGACCTGCTTAACTAAATTAGGCTATATTTCCATTATTTTTTTAAAAAATATCTCTGAGATGATCTTTGGTATGGTGTTTAACCCATATATTTGTTAACAAGATATACAAAGTGTGACACAAAACTGACCTGCTTAATATTATTTTGAGGAGAAAAGTCAAGTTTTTCAACATGGGCACAGAACGTTCATATTCATAAGAATATGAAGTGGCCATTTCCTACTCCAGAATGCAATTATTTTGTTCTTTCCTTTGTGATTGGTCTTCTCTTTTCACTCAAAATACTGCAGATGTGGTCTAAAAAAATTTCCTTTCTGTTCCATTCCCTGAAAGTGGAAGCTATTAGCCTTCTTTGGGTGACTAATCAATATAGAATAACTATGGGGAAAGGTGGTGGGAGCAAGTCCCACTCTTGTTCTATGCATATACTTTTCTCTTTTTTAAAAGGTAAGCATAGAGGCCCTGTGTGTATAGCTATACATAACTTACCTTACAGGGTGGTGGTTAGGATTACAGCTGGATAATGCAGGTAAAGCGCTTTGAACATTTGAAAGTGCTATACAAAAGTCAACTATTATTATTGCCCTCTAAATCAGAGCTTTCCAGACATTTCATGTTGGTGACACACTTTTTAGACGTGCACAAATTGGCAACAAGGTAATTCAGTTTTAGTAGCAAACAGAGGTTAAACTAACTCGCACGGCATACCTACACACTGAAGACACACAATTTGGAAAGATCTGCTCTAAATACTATCAGAATCCCTGCTTTTAGGGTTCCTGATCACATGAAGAGAACCCAATGCACATATAGTTGTATGAGCAGGAACTCTATTCTGACCTTAAAGTAAGGCCACACTGGTCAGGAGCAGAGCCTGTGTTTGTGATTCTGCTCCCTCATCCATCTATATTCAGGAAGTGTCCGGGTGGGGAATCTAGTTAGCTTTGCACCTAACTATTTGAATTCTGTCTTCAGTTCAGTACAGTTCACATCTACATAAAGATTTTCCTTCGCTATTATGGCCTGATATGCAGACTTTACTTGTAATTAAAGTTCAGAACCTGTCTAAAGGATGGTGCTTGTAGAGATTTAATATCAGCTGTGGCTTAGGGGTAGGCCAGAGCTCAGTGGTTGGAGCATTTGCTTTACATGCAGAATGTCCCAGGTTCAATCCTCATCATCACCAGCTAGGGCTAGGAATGTTGCCTTAAGCCTTGGAGAGCTGCCACCAATCAGCATATGAGCAATGGCCTGACTTGGTATAAGACAACTTCCTATGTTCCAACCAATCTTCCTTTAGGGGAGTCCATGGGGGAGTACAGGAATCACAGCATCCACAGAATAAGTTGAAGTTTTTCTTCTTTGAGCTAAATCCACTTATTCTAGAAACAGGACTGACGGAAGATGGATTTCACTGATGGTATAACAAGAGAACATTATGAGGAGACCAGCTGAGCCCATTTGAGTTTTGCTCCTCACCTACATGTTAAGAATCACCAGTCATAAATTCAGTTGTCACACAAAGTTGTACCAAGTGAGGCACCCTGAAAACCCGTTTACTTTCCCTGAGGTGCATTAATTCTTGAGTGCTGAAAGAAATAACAGCCTTTACAAAAAGCTGTTTGGCAGTGCAAGAAAAGACAATTTAAACATACAGTATATACAGAACTGCCCTGAGACCGCCAGGTATAGGGCAATATATAAATTCAATTAATAATAATAATAATAATAATAATAATAATAATAATAATAAATTTATAATTATTTCTGAGTAGACTTGCAAGTTCTGGTGCAGCACTACATTCCTCAGCCTCAAAAGAATGTTATTTTTAAATGCCTTATGATTTGCATTGCTTGTTTAACTTCATTTTTTTCTTGCCCTGATTTAGGGATGGGTTCAATGTGAGAATTCCGCTGCCAAGCACCTTGTTTGATGCACTGCCCCGTGAAATTCAGAGTGGCATGTTACTGAGAGTTCAGCCCGTTCTCTTCAATGTGGGGATAAATGAACAACAAACCTTAGCAGAGAAGTATATATATATTATTTTTAAAACATATCACACTTAGCCAAAGTTGGATTAAATCATCAGTCCTCCTGGGACTATATTAAGTTAATTTACTAGTAAAATCCAGTTCCCTACAACTTGGTTATCCAAATAAAGGCTCAGGAATAGGTTGGGCGACACCGAGTTTAAAACATTGGCAGATTTCAGTTGCTCAGGTGGTTGTTCACTTTCATAGTAACAACAACAACAATTTTATTATTTATACCCCGCTCATCTGGCTCGGTTTCCCCAGCCACCCTGGGCAGCTTCCAGCACATATATAAAAACACAATACATGTTGTATTATGTTTTTATATATCATCTGCTGTATAATGTGTAAGGTCTTTTACTACCTTTTGACTTAATCAGAGTCCTGTTCTCATGGGTTACTTTGCTGCAATAGCATCCAATGCTTGTCATATTTAAATTGCCTTAACTATTGTGCCAATGCAGTTGCTTTGATGGCCCGTAGAATGTAAGAGTTTGGGATGGTTTAGTGTGATGTAAATGAGCCATAACAAGTCTCAGGTTTGCATGGTCCTCCCATCTTCACTTCTCCAGTGCAGCTGAAAGGAGTTTGAAAGCTTCCCTTAAGCACAGCATGCCAGAACTGGCACACTGTGGTTATTGTTAACTATGGTTTGCTTCAGACAAGCCTTGGTCTTTGGCTCTGTCCAGGGGTGGCCAAACTTTTTTCAAAGAGGGCCAGATTTGATGATCTGAACATGCGTGAGGGCCAAATTAGGCTGAATTAGGCCCCCGAAATGGACTTTGGACATGCTTGGTTTATGTGAAAGTAGCTGTAAGTTGTTAAGTTGATCAGCTGTACCCTTGATAATTTAGTCCTATCACCCCTATTCATTAGTACCTAAATTTGAGTGATCATTTGTAGTTTACACACTGTCTGTCATACACTTAAGGAGAGTCTTACAATAACATTTTCAGCATTAAATCTTGAAGCTGTTCTCCTAGCTTTGTTTGTTTGGAAAGGATGTGTGTGAATGAGAGAGAGAAACCTTATTTGTGCTAAGGTGGCTTCTTTGATTTTTAAAGGTTTGGAGACACCTCTTTACAAGAAGTGATTAACATGGAAAGCTTAGTGCGGTTGAATTCCTACTTTGAGCAGTTCAAAGAAGTTTTGCCTGAAGACTGTAAGTGTGCCTAAGAAATATTCATATCTAATATGCTTAAATTTAAGTTAAACAACGGCCACAGTCACTCACTGTAGTAATCCATAAACCAATCATAGATAAAACGAAGCGTTGGGGCAGGAGATGATTTTAAGAGCAAAAGGAACATGTTGACAAGGAGTACAAACTCTCACACACACCTGCCACCCGCTGCTTGCCTCTCAACAGCCTCTCCCCGGTGACTCACTGTGAATTTGTGGGGGGCAACACCTATTTCCCTACAAAAAAAACCCCAATACAGAGGTTTTGTGCAAAATAGCTATTTAGCTGTACTGAAATTTAGATAGAGATCTTGTGGAAAACATCCATATTATTATTATTTTTAAAGAAGTCATGATGTACGTAGGTGTCTCCTAGGTGATCTGCTACACATGTTGAGATGCTAGCTCTACCCAACTAGGTTGTTGAAATTCCTGCATGCCTTCAGCATGCAGTAATCAATGGAAACAGGCCTCCTGCCAGAACTGCCAGAAACAAAATAGGTCCAGCTGAGGAGCAAATGGGAGTAGGGGTGTGGCAACAGGGAGTACCCACTGATGCATGTTACAAATCACCCACCCAAAGAAAGTACGAACAAACTTTCACATGACCAGTGATAGTGAATGCGTAGTTGATATTTTTATTTAAGGGTTCTTCCACAGTAAGAGGAAATTATGATTAACTGTATAAAAATATGACAGACTGGCATTTTAATTATGATGATGTAATATGGACGGTGGGAAGAACTTGTGTGCACAAGTGGTATTGGTTCCACCATAAAGGTCCACCTGGGAGCACCTTAATAGAGAATAATAATATAGCTATGTCTTACAATGAAAGAGCAGATAAGAGTCAAATGAGATGGTTTTTCAATATATTCAAGTGAGGTCATGTCCCAAGAGCCAATTAAGAGAAGAAGGGCCAGCTGAGACAACTGAGGTTGAATTGTTGTTAGCAGGACCAAGTACAGGTATGTTTTCTAGATTCTACCGTTGAGTTAGTTATAGCAAAGGAATATAGTTGCTGTTTAAAATAGAACTAAAGGGGTGTGGATCTATTTTTTTTGGCCCAAAGGCCCCATTCCCTCTTGGCTACTCCTCAATAAGAAGAGGCTGCTTGTTCTCATGGTGGCCAACCAGGTGCCTGTGGAAAACCCACACGGAGGACCTGAGCACAAGAGCACTCTTCCCTCCTGTCATTTCTGGCAATTGGTATTCAGCAGTATACTGCCTGACTGCAGAGCATAACCATCATAGCTACTAGCCACTGATAGTCTTATATCCTCCATGAATTTGTCTAATCCTTTAAAAAGCCATCCATATGGTCTTCATAAGTTTCAAGGAACCTGATTAATAGACCATTCCAAAGGGAGGAGGGCAGATGGACTGGGAAGTGTAAATTCCAGGAGGAGAAACTGCCAGATCCAGAGCCTTACTGGGCTTGTGCCAGCAGCACAGAAGATGGTAGAGTGGCTCTTTCTGGTGTTTTTCTTCCTTGTCAGCTTGGTGTCTCCCCCCCCCCCCATTGAACCACAATGGAGAGACTTGCAATGACAGATATCTTCTCTGCCTGTGACCCCCCCTCTCTGCTCAAAGGAGACAGATTTGCTCTATCCTGAGACTCTTCCAGGGTCTATAGGATTGCTTTCTAAGGAAATGGTGATCAGTTATCATATGAAGCTTAGTCTTTCAATATAAATTTGCATGTGGGTGAAACAATACTTCTGAACCAAGAGGCATACTTACAACATGCATTGTGGCAGGCAACTTATAAAAGGTGCTTGCTGTTTGCAGCTTTCCTAAGTACTTGCATTAAAAATCTATTTTTGGGAAAAAAATCTGCTAACTGATTAATTAGGGGTGCTGTTTAGTCAATTCAACAGATTTTATAGTTGATCACATAGTGTAGCCCTAACCGAAACAAATGACAATTTTTAATATGTGACATGTGGACAGTTACTTGATCTAGTTTCCCAGATTAGTACACAGATTCTAAATTTCTGGGGTACAAAATGCCATGTGACCACACTGTTCAGTGACAAATTTAGCTCAGGGTGCTCATTTCTACAAAATTTCTAAGGTACTGCACAAAAATAGGAGAAAGGAATAAAATGTATAGTTCAGCCTGAATAAATCTGCATGTGCTGATAAACCTTTCTCTCATGTCTGAAGAGAATGGGGAATGCTTACACTTTCTTTATTTCATTTAAGGTCTACCTCGATCTCGTAGTCAAACGTGCCTGCCTGAACTGTTACGGTTTCTTGGACAGAATGTACATGCAAGGAAAAATAAGAATGTTGATATTCTTTGGCAAGCTGCTGAGGTATTTATTATTCTTATTCTACAAACATTTGATGGATATGTGATGTTTGTGCAGGTCACCATGTTTACCTTTTTACTGCCCTGCCCTGCCAGAATGACACCACTGCCTCTGCCCACCCCTTATGAGCTTCTGCTGGCTTGGTGTGCAGCATGGAGTGAGGTGGGTGGCTTGTCCAGGAAGATGGGTCTGGTCTCCAAGGATGTTGAAGGGGAAAGGGAATTACTTGTTGCTCATTTGGAGGATGGGATGGTTTGTAACCTTACTAAGTCCATTGTCCTTGCAAAGGCTGATCGCTTTCCTTCCCAGGGTGCATGGCCATGAAAAAACCATGCCTACTGGCAGAATCTCCTGTGTACCACCATGTTTGCTATGTGATATTTATTTGTCAGTGTGCCATTGAAGTAGGATAAGAGGACAGAAACATCCAGGCAAAATGAACAGAGGTGGACAACCACCTCCAAAAGTTCATTTACAGCACTGAGATACTAGTAAATGCCACTTTGTTTTCTCTTCACCTGCTGGTACAGTATATAGCCCACCTAATGCTGAAATGGGGTATCTGTGATTCTCTCGAAGTTGCTGGACTAGTGTTTCTTCATTATTATTATTATTATTAAAATTTGTCTCAGGGCAATTGATAGGATAAAATCACAACATAAAAACATGAAATACACTATCAAAATAAAAACAACTTAATAATTCCACCAACACATTTTACAAGGGCATTGAATGTCAATCAGCCAAAGGCCTGATTAAAGAGGAACATTTTTGCCTGTCACCTAAAGGTGTGTAGTGAATTGGTCATCCTTGACCAATGCCCATGGTGGCTGGAGCTAATGGGAGTTTTATACTGACTGAGTTTAATAATAACTGAAGGGCCACATGGTCCCCTTCCCCATCTTAGGGCAACCTTTCCCAGCCTTGGGTCCCCTTATTGCTCCCAAATGTGGGGATATTACATTACACTGAAACATTACAATGAAGCTAATAGATAGTGTCGTTTTCTAGATTTGCCGCAGACTCAATGGTGTTCGGTTTACAAGCTGTAAAAGTGCCAAGGATAGGACTGCCATGTCAGTGACTCTAGAGCAGTGTCTAATATTGCAGCATGAACATGGAATGGCTCCACAGGTCTTCACACAAGCCCTGGAATGCATGAGAAGGTAAGGACCGTCTGCTCGCTGGCCTCTTGTTCCTAACCCTGGAGCCATGTAAACTGCAGATGGGTGGTTTTCAACCATCTTTGATGGGGATAGTTATATAACAAATATAACTATCAAGAAAGATAAATTGCACAGCCTACAGTTTCCTGAAGTACTTTGAACATCACTCAGTATTTTTTGATATAAAGAGACCTGTCATATTTGTATGTGTATTTTTTAAAAAAATCTTCTAAAAGAGGAAAATACTTTGTATAGTTTTCAGCAGTTTATTGAATAATTGAGATGTAAAGAAAAGTATTGCACAGCATGCAAGTCTTTTCTGCTCTACCAATTTGAAAGCTTTGTAATTGTAGGATTGCCTCAGTTGTCGTCTTGCCATTTTTGCTTAGAGGTGATCTGTATGGTTTACCTGTTCTGTGAAGGATACACATCTGCAGGTTGCATTGTTTTGCTATGCTTATTCCTCAAGCAATACAGTTTGCTTCTTCAGCAAATTGTCATTTTGAATGTTTCATGATGCAGCAATCAGAACCCATCACAACCTGTCAGTGTTCTGTGGTCATATAAGTTTAACTCCTGTTTTCTGAAGCTGCAGACATACTTGAAAATTCTGTTGTTTTTAAAATGTAAGGAATCTGTTTACTGTTCAATACATTGTTTCAAGCACTACCCGAAAGCTCCAATTTTACATACCAAAAAAGAAAGGATAAGAAATCCAGTTTTAGTCTTTATTGGTGTTTTCAGCACTACCGTGGAGTCCTGTTCTCAACATTCACTTTCGCTGAATGTACTGTACTGTGTGTCTTCTCACCAAATTCTCAAAAGTGTTCAATTCTCTTATCCTTTCTGTATGTTTTTGCTATTTGATCCTTTCTAAATCTTCAATGGTCTACTTTTTATGTTACCTTTTTACTTCAGCAATATTGCTTTCTGAATTTGCCATGGAGTCTTTTATTCCATAAAGGGGAATCACCTTAAACCTGGGCTATGATTAAACCAGCATCCTGGTTAAGAAAACATTAACATATAGAAGAGAAGAGACAGAAATATATATGCTCAAATGCATTCCCAGCCTCATTCATAATATTTAATTGGTGTCCTCCTGATAATACTAACTACATTTTAATAGATATGGACATTTTTAATAAAAGTGGGTACAATATAGTCATTGTTCATTATTTTAAAGTCTCATTGAATGCACCTGATTGTTTACCCAATTCTGGTCTGGGAGAGAAAAAGCCATGCCATTTATGTTAAGTGCATTTAACATTTAGGAAAACAACAACTTTAGGGCTGGACCCAGAGAAATGCTGGGAGAAGGGTAAAAAGTGGAAGGTTATCACCCCACTCCCATCCTTCCTTCAAGAGCCTCATGAAGAACTTCACATAAGGGTTGGTATGCTGTGGTGTAGGGGACTGAGGTGGAAGGAGGAATCCTCAGAAATTGGACAGAGGCAGTCAGGGGCGTAGCGCAAGGGGGGGGGCTTTCCAGGGTGATTGTCCGGGGTGCTGCTTATGCCACCTTCCCTGAACCAGCCTTGTTGCTCACTGAGTAGGAGGCCAATTTGCCTTGCTCATTATGGTGGATTTTTGTTTGTTTGATGACTTTTTAAAAATCATTTTTTAAACTAACCTACTTTGGAGCTAAGTAATTTTTAACACCAGTACCTTTAATAGCTAGGTTATTGAACTAATATGGTACAACTCACATTGAAGAATTTTTGAAAGGGTCAAATGCTATAATGGTTATTCATGTTCAGTTTTGCTTTTCAGAGCTCCCTTCCTTTGCAGCATGTGGAAGCATGGCAGAGCAGCATGGAAACATTGCTTGGCCAAATGAGAAAATGAACATGGAAAACCATTCTTGTTCAACCTACATGTATTTATTTTCAGTAGATTACAGTATTCTTTCTTATTTTCTCTTTTTATTCTCTTTCTCTCTCCTTTATTCTGTAATTGTGCCTTTTATTATTATTACTATGATTTAAAATTGGCACACCTCCCTATTCTTTAACCTAACACGTTCTATTTTCTGTTGTGGCTTCTTTGATGTTTCTTTTTCTCCTCTTCTTGATTTGATTCTGTTTTATTTTGCCACTTTTATTTCGTTTTGGTACGACCATTGCATGTCTGTGTGTGTTTCTTTCTTTACTTTCCTTTCTCCCCGAACTTCTTCCTTTTCACAGTATTGGAACACGGGAGGTAGTCACGCAGAAGAACTTGTGTGGCCTGGTGCCCATCCGGGATTTCAGGCTAGACCCCAATCTTCTCTACTCTATTCCTTTACTAGCTCTAAGCCCCAATTTACTGATTGTGTGGCTATTTCTGAGCATTGCCTACTTGGTGGCTAAATTACGTTGCAAGTGAAGATGAGTTTTAAAGCAAACAGAAGCAAAAATTTCAATGAAGTGCCAGAATATTTATTGCCACCTGGTACCTATTTGTCAAAGAATGTCTCATAGCATCGTCTGCCAAGAATAATAATTATTATTATGCCTTACAATTTTGTGTTTCTATTGTACTAAACTTGTAAATACACATCAGATTATTTTATGAAAAGGAATTGTATCGAACGTTTAAACTGTTAACGCTTTCAGTGCTTGTAACATAGTCTGACAGCGGCCCTGTTACCTCGGTATTTTACCCAACCTGAAGATTAGTTTCTCTTACCAAATATTTTTCAGGCATCCAAATCCGGAGTCTCTTTACGTTCTCTCTCTGTAGATACACACAGTTTTGTTTCACATGTTCCATGTATTCCAGAGAAAGGAACTTATATTCCAGAGAAAAGAATTTGTATCTTTTTTGTATATTCTTAAAGTGTGTCAATCTTGCGTTTCATATTTATGTGATATGCGAAGAAACAAAGTGATGGTTTGTAACAGGTTTAGCTAAACAAATATGCTCAGCACCTTATTACTTTGATTTCTAGGCATAGCCTCTAAAGCAGCCTTTGCCAACTTAGTGCCCTCCAGATGTTTTAGACTACAGTTTCACCATCCCCTGCCAGCATGGTTGTGCTGGTTGGGAGCTGATGGAAGTTGTAGTCCAAAACATCTGGAGAGGGCATTAGCTTGGTGAAGGCTGCTCTAAATAATTATAGCGATCCATGCTTAGAATCATGTACTTGTTCCCCTCCCCCACAAAGTTAAATCTGTTGCAGCAAATTATACCAACTTTAAAAAAAGAACCAACTTGAACTGCAGTGTACTGCATGCAATATACCGTACTTTCAGTTTATTTCTATATCTACTTTTTTAATGTATCAAAAAGGGGAGAGTGGGTAGCAAAGAATAGCTTACAAATAATCTGTAATTCTATTTAAATCTTCGGGAAAATATTTTTATAGTGTATGTGAATGCGATCATATGTAAATTAATCCTGACATTAAATATTGCCATAAAAGATGCACTAAGATATTTCAGCTAATGGTTAACGTTTTAGTTAGAAGAGATGAAATAAACTTAAAATAGTTAAAAGATGCTAACATAATTGAGTAACTGTTCCCAGAAAATTACTCTTAATACTTCAGTGGACAACAGAGAATTATGCTTAATTGCTACAGTTATGACATTTAATTGTTCAAATATGCACATATCAGCATTCAGAAAGCTTGTATAGCTATAATATTAAAGTTATAATTTTGTGGATTAATTTAATTAAAAGGCAACAGCCAACATTGCACAAATGGAATTCCCCTCCTCTTCCACTCCCCATTCCCTCCCCAATTCTGCTTCAGAAGGTCTATGAACCTCTAGAGCAGATTTGGGGGGTGCATGGGAACGTGAGGAAGATGAAACCCCACCGCCCTAGTGGCAGTCCGTTCCACAGGCATGTGACTGCCATTGTAAATTTGAGATTTTAAAGGAGTTAAGTAGGCTTAGAGACAGATTCTAACTGCCATGTTCCATTGTGCTATGTCCCACTGGTACAAAGATGTTGTTTCGATTGCATTTATTTTGACTACTAGTATAAGAAGCAGATGTAGCCTTGATTATGGACTGTTTGTATGTTACCAGAGTAGCACGAGAGCTACTGCTCCTGTAGCTCAATCCTGTCCTGCTCCAATAACATTTGTAGGAAGCAGTCATGTGACTTGGGGTAAACAGGCATCATTATTTCACACTACATCAAAATCACTTCTTATGTACTCAGAGTAGACCTATTGAAATTAGTGGACCTAAAGTAGACATATCTACTAATTTCAGTGGATCTGGTCTGAGGAGGATGAAAATTGGATGCAACCCAGTGATGTTGGTGTGGGAAATACTCCTGATGCATGAGACTGCTTTATACAGACATTACTGTAGAATGTTTCTACAGCTGCAGGTTTCATCTGCTCAGAAGCAGCAGCCACACTACTCAGGCAATATAACAACAGGTCTTGTGAGGAATGCATTGCAAGATAATTATCCGCCCCACCCCCCTGAAATGTAAGCATACCGCACGGCAGCATTAAAGCCTTTCTTGTCAGAGGAATGCTTCATACATTGTAACTTGTCATTGCATGCATTGAGTCTTGCCTCTCAAACAAGAATAAAAAAACACGCATAGGGTCAAAAATGTCTATCTGGGTCATATGTGTTTCCCAGAAGCCATAATTTCAAAACACACACACACATTTCTTGGTAAGTAGCCAGTTGTTAGACTGACTACAACCAGGCAAGGAAGCAGTTTCACTTTTTTTTCTTGTAGGTTGTCAGTGTGCCACAAAGGATTAACATAGGCAGCGGTGGGCTAGTCAATATTTGTAAGACTTAGCTATCCTGCCTTCTCCTTCTGCAGCACTGAAGATAATGGGGTAGCTCTTAAATATGCAGAGCTTTGTGAATCCACAAGAGCTCAGGATGGTACCAAATGAGATTCAGATAGTAAACACATCCTCAGTCAGTGTACACAGAGTAAGCTGGGTGCACAAAATCAGACTATCTATACATACCCTCCCTCTGCAAGACTGCTAAATCAAAATGTGTGCAAATTGTTGCCACAAATTTAACATCCTAGAATACTTTTGTGCTTTTAAATGAATCAAAGTGACACTCAAGTATAAATTAAAGTCACTACAGATAGTGTGACGCTGTGGGTTAAACCACAGAGCCTAGGGCTTGCCGATCGGAAAGTTGGCAGTTCAAATCCCGCGATGGGGTGAGCTCCCGTTGCTCGGTCCCTGCTCCTGCCAACCTAGCAGTTCGAAAGCACACAGTGCAAGTAGATAAATAGGTACCGCTCTGGCAGGAAGGTAAACGGCATTTCCGTGCGCTGCTCTGGTTTGCCAGAAGCAACTTAGTCATGCTGGCCACATGACCTGGAAGCTGTATGCCGGCTCCCTCGGCTAGTAAAGCGAGATGAGCGCCACAACCCCAGAGTTGTCCGCAACTGGACCTAATAGTCAGGGGTACCTTTACCTTTACAGATAAAATAAGTACTTCAGAGTCCCAATGCATTGTTTTAGAGGAAGGACAATAAAATCATTTACTTGTGAAATTAAGCCATATAAAAATGTGTATTATACAATGACAATTGAGTTAATGAAATCAGTTTATCACAGTTTCATATCAAGGTGTGCACAATCCATAGAGTAGATTTCAGTATGAAAGTGAAACAGCTGTTAATATGCCCACTGAAATCAACAGAACTTCAAAAGAGCTTGTTTGTCTGGGTCTTGCCTTATGTTGATAGTGGAATAAATTATTATAATTCAAAATCTCACCACCTTGGAAACAATGCTGCTGTAGTTTAACAAGGGGCATATTAAATGTTGCTGTCCTTAATTGTTTAAAATATAATTATATATCAGTCCTATGTTTGTGTGCTTTGTTTAACACTTATGCTCTAGCATGAAACCATTTTCATTTTCCATTGTTATCTTCTATATTCAAAGGAACCAAAGAAAGTTCTCTTTTGATTGTCTAAGTTAATTCATGTGTACCAAAATGATGTGCTTCCTTACATAGCTGTTTTTCAGCACTTTCAGTTTCATGAAAAATAATGGCCTTTTAAATAGATTTCAGAAATATTGTATTGAAATGCAATAGATTTCAAAACCAGAGTGTAAATGTTAAGATAGCCTATTGTAGCAATGACTATCACACCAAAAGAGGACTGTTCCCCAACAGCCCAGTATAGATTTTATTCTGCCACTTTAAACCATAGCTAAGGAGCAGGTCAGCAGAATTATTGACCCCATCGTCTCCTACAATTTCACATGCAAATCCCCACTTCTCCCTTTTACCATGGTTTGTTGTTATGTGCTAACCAGACTCCCATTATAACTACAGTTTGAAGCTGGTTTCCAATCCTAGGTAAGAAGAAATTTGGTTAGCACAAGTGCATACATAACATTAAATCATGGTGAAATGGAAGGGAATGCACAAGCCCACAGCCCACTATAGATTTCTTAGGTTAACCTGCAATAGGTAATTTCCTAGGTTAAACCTGCAGTAGGTAAATATGAGGGAAGGTTGCATTCCTAAATATTGATGGCTTTCTAGCATATGGTTGGTGGCTGTACATGAAATAGTATTTTTTCAGGCAATTAAACAGTACTAAACTTTTAAGGATTGTGATTGTACTAGTATTAGTTGGTTAAGTTCCGCTCCCCCAACCGCTCCTACTGTGCATAGCAAATTATCTAGTCATGGTAACCTTGAGCAAGGCCCTTGCTAAACTGATATGCAGGAAATAGTTGTTGTTGAAAAGCATTTATTACTGCACAGCATATGTGCCATGAAATACTTTGGAACATTGCAGAGATCAGTTGCATTGCAACTAGTTACACTATTGCTTATTAGAATTGCAAGTTTAGCAACTAGACACTGCATGTTTCTATTTCACGTGCCTCATAGCTGCACTGTTTAGTGATCCACTGCTTTTAAATTTGCAATGGCAAATTATTCAAGCACCTGTTCAAGTATTTCAATGCTATGAACTAACTAGTTCACCTCATTATTGTCTAAAATAATTGTTCATTTTGTTTTTGTTTTTACTGCTGTCATTTTTTGTGCTTGTCTCTCTTTCCCAGTGAGGGTTGTCGAAGAGAAAATACAATGAAGAATGTTGGATGTCGCAAGTATGCATTTAATTCCCTGCAGCTGAAGGCTTTCCCCAAGTATTACAGGCCTCCTGAAGGAACTTATGGAAAAGTTGAATCATAAGATTACTCTGTCCTGTAATTAGTTGTTCCGTTAAAAAGAAATGTGGATACACTCAATTTTAGTATATGAACTTTGACAACAATGTCAGGAACAATTTTTTGTACGTTTCACTAATTAATACCAAGCATGTACTTTTATTAAATTGGATTCCATAGGACAAATATTATTTACTGACCCCTTATAACATGAAAATGTGATGACCGTCTGCTCATGTAACTAGCCATCAGTGTATGTAAGATGCCTGTTCCATTGATTTCTTACTTATATGCCTAAATAAGAAAGGTAACTCCTGGACTGTTGATGATTTTATGAATGAAGTTTAGGCAGCTGTTTCACACATCTTTTTATACTGATTTGATTTGAGATTAAGACTTTCATATAATACTTTTTTAAAAAACCTCAGACTTTGTAAATAGTAAATGAATTGGATGTGAGGCAGTTTGATAAGTTACAAGCAGCATTGTTATGCAGGAGAAGCTAAAACTCAGTTTTTAAGACAGTGCAGCACAGTAATATAAATGCCAGGACCTTAAAATGTTTTCCTTTATGTAGGACACTATCATATAAGTGGTGTGTACTATACAGCATCAGGAATTGACACAAAGCCCAGATCAAAAACTGGACTGGACCCATGATTCTTTCAGTTGTCTTTAGAAATTTTACAGTTCTATACCTTTGAAAAGTAGGCTCAAGGAAGAGAGAGTTGCACATGGCAAAATAGTTAACGTGACTAGTAGTGCTCTGGGCAGAGGACTCAAAAGACAAGGTACACATTCTTAACTGGCTGGCATTGTAAATTAGATACGAAAGTGCATTCTGGTTTGGACTTTGAAATGCCAAGGAGGCTGAGTCCTCTGCATATCTGCATCATCAGAGGCATCCAACCTATTTCAGTTTGCACCTCTTTCTGTTTATATCCATCAGCTTACTGCACACAGCAATGCCATTCAGTGGAAGACAAATATTCAGAAGCGCTCTCTCTCTCTCCTTTTTCATGCACAAGATGATATTATACAACTTCACTTGTGGAAGCAGCTGTTCGATGTTTGCAAGCCTTTTGCCAAGTATGCTTACTGGATTTACATCCTGGTTCTAGGACTGAATTAGATGCACTTTAACCATTTGGAATTGGTGGTTCCTTACTTTCCTCTCTATCTTCAGCGTTTCAAATATTTTTACTGTATTGTATTTAACTTTTACTAGGAGTAGAGCCATTGATATTAAAGGCCATGACTAACTTAGACCCACTAATTTCAGTGAGTCTACTCCCCTTAATAGTTAAATACAGCCCATAGGTAATGAAAACTATGAAGTACATAAGGGATTCCTACTTTCAGATCATTGTTTTACACAAAAGCCAAATGTTTCTCATGAACCCATAATTCATTGATAAGGCTACGCATTGAACTGGTATGGGTGTAACACTAAACCATGGTTCAGTGTTATGTGAATGAGCTTTAGGCTCACACCTCCATAATTACAACTTTGATGAGGAGTTGGGAACTTCTTCTTTTTAAACCAGATGCAGTTTATTGTTATCAGGGGTGCCAACTTGAATAAAATATTGGGGGCCCAGGCAAGTCCTGCCCCACATAATTGATCACGTGACATGGCACATGCACACCATTTGAATGGCAATGCCCATCAACTTTGGGAGGGCCCAGCCCCCTCAAATATTTTATTTGGGGGGGGGAGGGACCTAGGAGTCGGCTCCTATGATTGTTATGCCTCAAAGGAACAAACAGTTAGTTTAAACTATGGTTCACTGAAACAAGTCTGGCCAAAATCATAGTTTATGATACAGTGGTACCTCAGGTTAAGTACTTAATTCGTTCTGGAGGTCCGTTCTTAACCTGAAACTGATCTTAACCTGAAGCACCACTTTAGCTAACAGGGCCTCCTGCCGCTGCAGTGCCGCAGGAGCACGATTTCTGTTCTCATCCTGCAGCAAAGTTCTTAACCCGAGGTAATATTTCTGGGATAGCGGAGTCTGTAACCGGAAGCGTATGTAACCCGATGTACCACTGTACTGGCTTGTCTCAACAAATTTTAGTTTAAGCTAACCACTTATCCCTTTCGGACAGCACAATAAACTGCTGCTTGTTAAAGACAGGAAGTGGAAGTTTCCAAGCTACTCCTCAAACTTCTGTTTAAGGCAAGAAGTTGATGCATCTCTTCTCCTCCTTGGGCTACCCTGGAGGAGGAGCACATGAAAGAGGAGATAGGAGTGTATCAGTTTGAGAGACACTGCTGCTTGTTCACATAATGCTAAATTGTGGTTCAGAATTATGTCCATTGGACCATTGGACATAATTGTCCAATGTCCATAATTGTCCAATGTCCATAATTGTCCAATGTCCAATGTCCCATTGTCTTCCAATGGGAGAGTTCATATGAAAAGCCGCTATTAACAAAACTACCCTTTAGAAAGACACATGAATATTAATTGATTGCACCAGTACAAAAAGCAAATGTGTGAATAATGCTTAAGGTAGAATAATACAGTCTTCTGTTGATATGTGACCAGCAGCAAAACAAAAGTGAAATTAAGCACTGATTTTTTAAAATCATGTCATGCTTAATCTTCTGCAGAGTTGTTTAATCCAGTATATAATAGCCATTATAACATTTTCATACTAAGACTGTAACCCAGAACAAACATCTACACTTTTAAAGTCTACTGAAATTAGTGGTGTTTATGTATAATAACTATGTTTAGGATCATGGGCCCTGTAATGGAAATGGGAAATGTGGTTCAGTTATTCTCCACAAAATAAGAAACCGGTATACATGGGACATTTTCCAATTTTGTGTTACTTCTCCCAGCTATTTATATTTGCACTTTAATTTCGCAAAGGTTTTCATTGTTTATTCTAGGCCTACAGACATTTGTTATACTATTTGCTTTTTGCAGTTTGATGGCTTAGCTGTGTTGTTACATGTGCTAGTCATGATTTTGCACTAATCATGATTTTGGTGAACTAGTCTTTTATCGCTGTTTCAGCCTTGTTTGCAGTTTCAGTGTTATGAATGCTATGTAACATGTTTAACCTCGGAACTCTGCACCAAGTGTAAACGTTTTTGGTCCATGTTGAAATTGTACTATTGGGAAAACTCATCCTGATATAGCATAAATGTGCATTATTTTGTATTTATTTTATGTTCACCACTCAGTGTATTTTTTGTACATATTAATCATGTACTTAAACACTTAAGTTATTATTTTTCAGCTTTGGAGGAAGGGCTACTGAAAAGATTTCAGTAATTTAATGATTCTCTAAAACTTTGGCAAGCAATGTTTTTAGAAAACAACACAGAGAATACTGTCAGCCATCTCTTGGAGCCATAGGGTGTATTTCCCCATTCTTTTAATGGGAAAGGGAAGCTGAAACTTTAGGCCAGATTGGCTAGTATAAATGTTCAGGATCAGATTTCTAGCTATTTTTAGCTATGCCCCCTCTAAATAACAGTGAGCCTTTATTTTACATGCCTACTTGAATTACACTACGGAAAATTGTTTGTTTTTACAATGCTTCATTCACTTTGGTGAGGCTCTGTGGATAGAAATGCATTATCTAGCATTGCAATACTTATATGAATAATTTCCTAACTCCTCATATGTGTCCTTTGAACCCCTCACTTTTTTTAAGATACCAAGCTATAGTACTGCATTAATTATAGGAAAGGGATTCAATATTCTGTTTATCCTTAGGTTGTTTGCAATATGTAGAACAACTTTGTCCATGTAATATTTTATAAAAACAATTTGACATATGCATAGATAGGATTCCATTGAGGACAAACTGAATAGAGCTTAATGAAAAATGGAAAACTCTGAAAACATAAATCCATATTAGGAAACTTCATTTAATTGTTTTATTTGAGTGGCAGATTGCACAGAAAAGGCATTCTTAAGGAATACTATAACATGAAGTTCTAACTAATTTTTTTTAGTACATTTTAGAAATGAAACCTACTAAAGGGGTATAAAAGAAACTGCTGCTAAGTCTGTTTGTCTCTGTTCTATTAAAACACCCACAGCACAGTTGCCTTTTGGGTTTCATTTATGTATGTAGAGCTATTGTAAAATAATAGAGCACTGTTTTTGTCTCAACACAGTTGTATTTGCCAAGCTTGGTGCATTGAAAAGTTTATTTTATTTATTTGTTTTGGGGCAGTATTAATATACCATAAACATATGATTACTGTTTTATATAGTCAATTCTTCCAATCCATGTATGCTGTAAATGTGCTAGTCTTTAGGGATAAAATAATAATAAAGAACTGACAAGAATGCTGAGATTAGTATTTTTGTTTCATTTAAAAAAAAGATAAAATACATTGCAACGTTCAAGGCTTTAGGACCTCTATTATATTATACTATCTAGGGTTTTCCTACTAGCAGGGGTGTCGGGATTTTCTGGTCCCAGTACACTGTATCTGGACTGGGACCTCTGACCACTTGCAAAAGAGGATGCAAACTTGCATGCAACTTGCATGTGCAAATCTATGTTCTCTTTTTGCAGATGGAGGGTCCCAAAATATAACTTCTAGGGGGTACAACCACCCTGGAAAGATGCATCCTGGTTGCTAGGAAAAAGCAACACATATTCCAAGGGCAGCGGGCCTGGATAGATCCGTTGGTTACGGCAAACCAACCAGATGGGCAGGGTATATATATTATAAATATTAATCCATGGGGGGTCCTAAAAGACTGCAGTTTTCCCCATCCCTTTTCCTATTTCTGTCGCCTGGTATCCAAACAACTCACTCATCAATCGCAGCTCTGACTTTGCCCAAAGGCTAAAAACATGGGTGGAAATTTCAGAGAAATTGCTTAGATGTGTACCTTTCTTTCATCCGTCCGTCCCCCCCTTTTTTTCTTTTAATGAAAGTATGGTCACCTGCTAGTGTGGGTTCAGTACATCAGTATCCCTATACCTCTCTCTCAGTGTAACTGCCTTCAAGCGGTTGCATTTTGTTTTAAATTTTTATTTAAAGATTTGTTTTTATTGTTGATAAAGGTGGTCCTACTATTGTGCCTTTATTTATTAATAAGGACAAATAGACATTTTATTTTTTATCAGTATATATAGGGCCAAATCTTTGTGTGGCTTACAATGAATATAAGCTAAAGATGCTGTTTGGTACAATATATTGCAGAGATGGTATAGAATGATTTATAATTTAAGGGATTTGAGATTTAGGATATAAGGCTATACATCTTATGTTTATCAAACAGCAGCCTCCCCCACCCCCCACCAAAAAAAAGCAAACCACTTCTGAAATTAAGGGAACTCGGTGTTACATAGTATATGACAAGGGGTTGATGATCTAATAATCTAAGGGGGAGTAAAAAAAGTCCACTGGTATACCAAGCCTTTGGTCCTGCATAAAGTATTATTTATATAGCACTAGCAAGATGTATGGCTATGGCAGTGCTCATGGTCTTACAATCAAAAATTTGACATGGAACTCACTTTAACGCAAACCAGGAAAGAATGTGATTTTGGGTACACATACTTAAGACTTGATTACAGGCTTAGTTGTAATGTGGCATGGTAACCTGGGGGCTAAACCAAAGGCTTCGTATAAGTGGATTTTGAGGATGCAGGCCAGCAAAGGGGAAGGGGGTGGAATCTTCTGAAGGAGCAGAAAACCTCTGGATGGCTGAAGGGGTGACAATGGAGGACCGAAAGCCACAAACATGGACATATATGAGGGGCTGTGTCTCTGTCCACTGCTCACCAACCCACTGCCATTCTACCCATATTAACCCCCTTCCCATGAAACTATTAAGCTCACTTTTCACTTTCCCAAACCACTTTCTAAAGTCACTTTCCTGTTCCACAGCCCTGCTTTGTACCCATTTTCACGCACACATCCCTGGTAACTCCCTGCATCTTCCTCCTTCCACACATTGCAACTACTAAGCACCCTTTTCATTTTCTGCCCAGTTATGAAGCCATCATCCCCTTCTATTCTTCAGATACTGTCATGATCATGGCTTTCATGTTCAGCCCCCATTCCTATGCCTTCTACTGCCCCCTTTTTTTGCAAGCCCCTTTGCACCCCCAATTTCCCCTTTTCCCCTTCACCCTCCTCCTTACTTTTCTCAACTCACCTCTGCACACAGACCACCCCCATTTCCATCCTGATCCTCCTATACTGCAGTCCCCTTTGCGCACATACCCCAAGCTGATATATGTTACTGTATCTTTAAGATGAATAGAAGAGCAAGTCTGCCAGTTAGCTTATTCAGCTACGGGCCCAGTTGTTAGATGTTGTACATATATGGATGTTTGCTTGTTAATTAAACATCCCTTCTAAATTACACACTGAATCTGGAAATTCATGTTGAAAACAACAAATGATATCAGAAGTGGGGGGGGGGGATACATTGCAGAAAGGTACTATGGTACATTTGAGGGCTTGACATTCTTTCTCTCTCACACATGAGGCAGCTGAGGAATGGAAGAGGGAGAAGTCTTAAGTACAATGAAGGGAGTGATGCTGAAAGAAAAACACTGCTTTAAACAATGGCAGACTTTGAATAAAGTGTTCCCATTCTTATTCAAAGTCACTATTGTCTTT